GCTGCTTCATTCCTAAGAGCCAAACTCTGTCACTTTCCAAAGTTGGACTTTCTATCTCTTAAACATTTTGAGTTATGATTTGTTGGAAACGGGGCAAGTTATCGATAATTTGAAACAATCAAACATTCTACAGCAGGATCTTCTTTAACAATTGCTCTTTGTCTAGCTCTTTGGGATCGGTTCCTACATAAGGATTAATTGAAGATCGATTTCGCGGGCAGCAATTGAAGAAACGATTTGGTTTGGTTGTGTCTTCTACCTTGGTTGGGCAGGAGGCCCATCTCATACCTATTCCGATTCACGACGAGCGTTGCTCTGCCCGCATTTGGGTGTTAGACCAAAAACATCAGGCCTCTGATTAGGCCTCGTACCAGAAGGAAGGAACGGGTAGACATGGCCTGATCCACCCGGTTCTTAATGCAGAGCCAGAAAAGAAATACTCTCCTAGCTCGGAGATGCTTTCTTCTGGCTTTGCACAAAACCAAATATACCCTTTTTAACCCAATGGATTGAGGGTATTAAAATGCCTCGATTGCAGACACAGTCCAATACACACACACACACACACACGCACACTCCCAGTTGCTGTGCCAAGCAATATATTTATTCTGCGAATAATTTTACCCTTTGTCGTTGTTGGATTCTGTTTTTTTGGGCCAGGTATTAATGCTTAAATCGCAACCGACGCAAGGATATCGCATAACAAAAGGTAAATGTCAGTACCCTGCTTTTCAACCCCCTCCCGCCTCCCCTCTCCCCTCTCTTTGCACTCCAAGGAAAGCGAAAAACAACGGCCTGGGGCCACACACACACACACACACACACGCACACACAGAAGCTGCCTGAACGCGCCCAAAAGTAGGCAAAAATTTCGGAATTTATAAGTTGAGTTTTCTTTTGCCGTCTCCCTCACACCCTCCGTCTCCCTCACCTCCTCCGTCTCCCTCGCCGTCTGATCAACTGTCTGGCGCAATCATAACAAGAGTAGCCGAGAGCCAAGCCGAAGTTAACCTGAGCCGCAGCCCATCTAATTAACTGCCAGACACACGCACTGTCATTGGCGATAAATACTTGGCGAGGGAAGCCTGATGAAGAGAGAGGGGGCAGAGATAGAGAGAGAGAGAGGGGGCAGAGAGAGAGAGAGGGAGAGCGATTGAGAAGGAGGGCAAACTTGAAGCTCAATTGTCGCTAATCGACAAAACGCCAAAGGGCTGCAAATTTGCAAGTGAGCCGAGATTAATTGCTGTTTACAAGCATTTTAAATGCTGAGAGAGAGAGAGAGAGAGAGAGAGAGAGAGAGGGAAAGGAGAGAGCATTAGATAGGGAGAGAGGGGGGGAGAGAGAGCGAGCAAATCGCTAAGTGTCTTTATAAAAGAAGATATGCTCTGCTCTAGGTTCTAGTATTCTTAATAGTTATGTCACGAAATGTGTGGACTTCTCCGACCCAATCTTTTCATAATGCTTTGCTCGTATCTAAGTAGCACAAGGAAAATAGTTAATGCCAAGTATGGCAAAGATATCTTGAAAAACAAAAAAGTTTTTCATACAATAACTTAATTTTCGACCGATTGTTCCTATGGCAGCTATATGATATAGTTGTCCGATGTTGATAGGATTTTGCAAATATATGAGGAGCTAAGTGAAACTAAAAAATGCCAAATTTGGTCAAGATATCTTGAAAAACAAGAAACTTTTCTATAGAACGGACGGATATGGCTATATCGACTCGCCTGTTGATACTGATCTAGAATATTTTTAAACTTTATGGCGTCGAATGAGTCTACTTCTATGCGTTACACATTTCTAGAAAAACGATTAATTTTGTCCAGAAATCTTTGCCAAACTCTGCAATTGCGAGCTGCACTTGACTTCTTCTCATTCCCGATTCGTCTGAATCTTCTGTCTTTATGCAAGAGCTCAAAGATAGCACTCAAATAGCAAAATATATTTGCCAACTCTATATACAATATGTACAATATATGAGGTACAAGCTCTTATAATCATTGAGGTGGACTCAAAAGAGAAAGCGGGGCTGAAATTGAAAAATTCAATTAGGCCCACACTGGCAAATAAATGCGACATATTATACATCTAACAGCACGTATGTTATCCCGTGTAATCTGTGGAGCTGTGGAGCTCTCGGTTGGCCAGAACTAAAATTGCGCTTTGATAACTAATGCGTAGTTAAAGGCATTAAGATGTTGAAATAATGCGATGCCATGATGCGAACAGGATGCGGATGCGGATGCGAATGCGTATGCGTATGCGGATGCGAATGCGTATGCGGATGGGAATGAATGAGCAAGAATACTCGAAAAATATTCGCACTCAGCATATTCTCGGCACGAATGTGTATTATACATGCTTCGTATACTCTGTCCATCCAGTAAAACTGAGAGTTTATTGCCTATGAACAAAACTATGCACAAAACTTGAAGTTTTTTTTTGTCTTTTTATGTTGCGGCCAATTGTACAAAATGTATTTTGAACCCAATTTCAGGGCTGGAAATTTGACAGTTCTTCGCTTTAGAAGAGCCAGCAAAAATTTAACAAAAAAAATATATATATATTATTAAGTTAATTTTGAATAATTGCTAAAATTTATTTTTTTAAGAAAAAAACTGAACTGAAAACTTAACCTACGCCAAGATTCTTACGGTTCGATTAGCAGACTCTGCCGTCGGCTTTAGCCGTTTGAAGCTTAAACTGGTTGCGAATTGCAACGCCTCAAATGGCAGGCAGCTAGCCTGTTGCTTTTCTTTTTAGAGGATCAAGCCAAAATTGTAAAACTCTAAATAGGTGAACACTTTTTGATTGAGAAATCGAATCCATATCAACAGTTTTTCCGGACAGTATCTGCCGTGGATTTCAGTCGCTTGAGGCTTAAACTGGTTGCGAATTGCAACGCTTTTTTTTAAAAGGATCAAGCCAAGATTCACCTAATATGTGACCATTTTAAATGATTTATTTTTTGATTCTTTCACTAGTCACAAGCCTAAAAATCGAATCAATTTCAAGAGTTTTTTCCGGACAGTTTTCCGAAGAGTTTTTCGCCTGAAGCTTAAACTGGTTGCGAATTGCAACGCCTCTTTTAATATGATTTATTTTTTGATTCTTTCACTAGTCACAAGCCTAAAAAACGAATCAATTTCAAGAGTTTTTTCCGGACAGTTTTCCGAAGAGTTTTTCGCCTGAAGCTTAAACTGGTTGCGAATTGCAACGCCTCTTTTAAAAGGATCAAGCCAAGATTCACCTAATATGTGACCATTTTAAATGATTTATTTTTTGATTCTTTCACTAGTCACAAGCCTAAAAATCGAATCAATTTCAAGAGTTTTTTCCGGACAGTTTTCCGAAGAGTTTTTCGCCTGAAGCTTAAACTGGTTGCGAATTGCAACGCCTCTTTTAATATGATTTATTTTTTGATTCTTTCACTAGTCACAAGCCTAAAAAACGAATCAATTTCAAGAGTTTTTTCCGGACAGTTTTCCGAAGAGTTTTTCGCCTGAAGCTTAAACTGGTTGCGAATTGCAACGCCTCTTTTAAAAGGATCAAGCCAAGATTCACCTAATATGTGACCATTTTAAATGATTTATTTTTCGATTCTTTCACTAGTCACAAGCCTAAAAATCGAATCAATTTCAAGAGTTTTTTCCGGACAGTTTTCCGAAGAGTTTTTCGCCTGAAGCTTAAACTGGTTGCGAATTGCAACGCCTCTTTTAATATGATTTATTTTTTGATTCTTTCACTAGTCACAAGCCTAAAAATCGAATCAATTTCAAGAGTTTTTTCCGGACAGTTTTCCGAAGAGTTTTTCGTCTGAAGCTTAAACTGGTTGCGAATTGCAACGCCTCTTTTAATATGATTTATTTTTTGATTCTTTCACTAGTCACAAGCCTAAAAAACGAATCAATTTCAAGAGTTTTTTCCGGACAATATTTGTTGTCGATATCAGTTGCCTGAAGCTTAAACTGGTTGCGAATTGCAACAGCATTTCGGAGTGTTCATTACACTGTGAACAGAGTATTGCGCAGTCGATGGCAGCCGACTGTAGCGTGCGCCTAACTGCTGTAATTATGATTGCGAATGATACACTCAAGTACACAGAGATAGTTAGATTGTAGATATGCATGTACGGCGCCCCTGACCCGAACTAACTACAGGAACCACACCACAGTTAAATGTAATGAATGATATTAACAAGTAAAAGGCCAACGGCAACGGTAACAACACAAATACACAAAATAAAATAAAGAAAGTTTGGCAACAATTTGAGCGAGGCTTACCTAAAAAAAAGAATTGTTATCATCGGGTGTGACTTGAAGTACGGTCGATCTGGAGTTCAGTTCCAGACGGTGTGAATCGTTATCATCGGGTGTGACTTGAAGTACGGTCGATCTGGAGTTCAGTTTCAGACGGAATGGAAGCCTTACAGGTCTTTTCAGTGTTGATTACGACACAAGTTAATCTGGTTTTTGGTTTTTTTTTTTATTTTGAATTGTTTAATTGTTTTGTTTTTTTCAAATTGTTTGTTCAAGTGACTCTTGTTTTGTTATTTTTCAAATTGTTTGTTCAAATGACTCTTGTTTTGTATTTTTTTCAAATTGTTCGTTCAAATGACTCTTGTTTTGGTTTTTTTTTCAAATTGTTCGTTCAAATGACTCTTATTTTGTTTTTTTTTTCAAATTGTTCGTTCAAATGACTCTGGTTTTGTTTTGGTTTTTTTTTCAAATTGTTCGTTCAAATGACTCTTGTTTTGTTTTTTTTTTCAAATTGTTCGTTCAAATGACTCTTGTTTTGTTTTTTTTTTCAAATTGTTCGTTCAAATGACTCTTGTTTTGTTTTTTTTTCAAATTGTTCGTTCAAATGACTCTTATTTTGTTTTTTTTTTTCAAATTGTTCGTTCAAATGACTCTTGTTTTTTGAATTGTTATATTTTTTTATATCGCGTTTTTTGACGATTCAGAAATCGCAAATCTTGATCTTCAGGTCTTCAGGACGAAAATGGAAGTCCCGCCAGGGGACTCCTTCGATATTCAGCAACATGTGGTTTTTTTTTTTAAATAGTCTGTTGTGTTTTTTATTTTTTTGGTTATTATGTTGTTTTTATAATTTGGAATTTAGCTAATTTTAAATTCGGAATCGACATTAAATTTCTTTATCTTCATTTTGAAGCTTCTGACTTGATTTAAATTAATTGAATTTGATTTGATTGAGTTTCACAGCTCTGTTTTTGGTTTTTTTTATATTATATGCAGTTTTGGTTTTGATTGATGCTCTGAAATTTCAGCTGAAAAATCGAAAAGAACAATAAGTATTAGCAGGAAAAAAAAATGGGACACACTTTAGCTTAAGCCTAGGAAAAAAAATAACCAAACAACACGTTTCAACACCTCAAAAAAAACAACAAAAAATTAACAACTTTATCAGCAGCAGCAGCAGCAGCAGCAGCAACAACTTGAGACACAAACAACAACGGCGGAGCAGCAACAGCCCAAAAAGTAGGCTACGTTGAAAGTTGAGCGCGCGTTTACGCTTCAAAAATCAAGATTCAAATATTTGTCTTTGCGCCACTTTCAACACACACAAACACTTGTTGGGCCTTTGCGGGGAGATTGCTTGAGGTGGAAGGAGGGGCGGCACCAAGCTGCCTTTCTTCTGTTTTGTCTCCTGTTGCTGCTGTTCCTGTTGCTGCTGTTCCTGTTGCTGCTGCTGCTGCTGCTGGTGCTGCTGGTGGGATTGGGAACGAACTGCTTCTGCCTGCGTTCGGCCGCTAACTGAGCCAGCGTAGGGCAAGCGGCCGCTATTTAAACGTTGCCGAGCCGAGCTTTTTGCCCGTTAACCGTTAGCAGAGAGCTTTGAAAGCTCGCCGCCAGGGTAAATTCCCGACGACAGGCTGTCGCTGTGCTGCTGCTAAAACTGCAGCGACGCGAACGCCTGCACCAATGAGCGCAGGCGATTGCAATTGCGATCGTTGTTAATAATCGGCCCGAGTCCACGGCAGCCAATCAAACTTATCGATGCAACTGCAAACAAAAATAGAAGAAAAAAAATGTAGACAGATTTCACCAGAATTTTACATTAGCATAGAGAGAAGGTAATTCAAATGCGCAAATTTGCAGTAAGAAATTTCTGGAATGGAAACTTTTTTTTTTTTTTTTGTTAATATTTATACAATTATTTGTTGTGAGAAAAATTGTTTTTTTTGTGTTTTTTTTTTTTTTTGTTTATTGTTAATTCAAAATTCTTGTCGGCACAGTTTTCATATAAGAAGTACTTTTAGATATTTTGCATAATGTTTTCATTTGGTCTTTTTGAAAAAGCAAAGCAATAATTTTAACTGCATTAACTGAAGCTCTTTGCCCACGCAGTTGCCCGCTAATAAAGCTTAAAAGCTCTGTACAGTGCGCCCTCGCTCGAGTGAACACCAAAAATTGCCATTTTTTGCCAATCAATTTATATAATTAAACAGAATGAACTCTCTTTAGCAACATTTTGTTCGATTTGCTAAAAATTTAATGAAAAACAATAAGGCAACTCGTTGAAAAATTCAATTTTTAGCTCGGTCGCGTTGCGCGAATGCGTGCTGTATACGTATAAATATAGCAATGTGTTCAAAAACACGAGGGAAACTCCGTGCGCGCAAGCTCGGCTACACTGTGCAAATTTTCGCTAACACATTTTGATTTTAGTACAGGTGGGTAAAGATGATTTTAACAAACAGCCAATTAGAACCCTCTGCCCGCATGCCTCTGCCCGCGTCCCTCTGCCCGCTTCACTCTGCCAGCTTCACTCTGCCCGCATGCCTCTGCCCGCGTCCCTCTGCCCGCGTCCCTCTGCCCGCTTCCGTCTGCCCGCATGCCTCTGCCCGCGTCCCTCTGCCCGCTTCACTCTGCCAGCTTCACTCTGCCCGAGTCCCTCTGCCCGCTTCACTCTGCCCGCTTTCCTCTGCCAGCTTCACTCTGCCCGCTTCCCTCTGCCCGCTTCACTCTGCCCGCTTCACTCTGCCCGCTTTCCTCTGCCCGCTTCCGTCTGCCCGCATGCCTCTGCCCGCTTGCCACTGCCCGCATGCCTCTGCCCGCGTCCCTCTGCCCGCGTCCCTCTGCCCGCATGCCAGTGCCCGCGTCCCTCTGCCCACTTCACTCTGCCCGCTTCCCTCTGCCCGCTTGCCTCTGCCCGCTTGCCTCTGCCAGCTTGCCTCTGCCCGCATCCGTCTGCCCGCTTGCCTCTGCCCGCGTCCCTCTGCCCACTTCACTCTGCCCGCGTCCCTCTGCCCGCTTCCCACTGCCCGCGTTCCTCTTCCCGCTTCACTCTGCCAGCTTCACTCTGCCAGCTTCACTCTGCCCGCTTGCCTCTGCCCGCGTCACTCTGCCCGCTTGCCTCTGCCCGCGTCCCTCTGCCCGCTTTCCTCTGCCCGCTTCCGTCTGCCCGCATGCCTCTGCCCGCTTGCCTCTGCCCGCTTCACTCTGCCAGCTTCACTCTGCCAGCTTCACTCTGCCCGCTTGCCTCTGCCCACTTCACTCTGCCCGCGTCCCTCTGCCCGTTTCCCTCTGCCCGTTTCCCTCTGTGCTTAAGAATGTTTTTTAGTTAGGAAGAAAAATCGCATATTCATACATACATATGTATATTTATTTACATACACAGATGCATGTTGGCTCGGCCCCAACGGCTGGGAAACCACACGGCATCTCAATTAACGCTGGCAACTGTGCGGCAACAAAGGCCGCAGCAGGAACGAGGTTACGCCTGGGTACAGTTGGATATGGAGCATAATTAGCAAAGAGATGTGTACACGTCCATGCAAGTCGTACCGGTTCAGTGGCTCTTGACCGCAAACGGCTGCGTCTCAATAGAATAGAACAAATTGGTGTCCAGGACCCTCATTTCGCTCCATGCTCGCGAAATGTCATTCACAGCCAACAGCAACAAGTGTAAGCAAGCCATTAACTCGCCATGCGGCGAATTGGCTGCACCAGTTTACATACGCACATACGTAGCTTGAGCAATGTGCGCATTTATTCATTCAACAGCAACAAGTGTAAGCAAGCGGCGAATTCGCGAGCAACGGTTCTTCTGCTGCCCGCAGACAAAGCTGCATCTCAATTTGCCAATGTCAATATGTATGCACAAATGTATGTATTAAGCAAATGCCAATATCGAAGATATTTTGCATATAACAACCGTTACTTCAGCTTGCGCTTAGTTTCAAGCTTACCCCATTATTTTGTAGCAACGGTTCTTCTGCTGCCTGCCGTCGGCGCTGAGCCTCCATTTACACGCACACATGTATGCACCTACTTACACATATTTGTGTTGTTCTTAACAGCAGCCGCGATTAAATCGTCTCTTACAATTGGTAATAAAAACTTTGGCTTACAATTGTTTCACGTTGAACTTGCGTCGTTTTCGTTTCAGTCTTGACAAGCCATTCAAAATGCGGCGAATTTGCAGGCAACGCATTTGTCGCTTTGTTTGTGTGTATATACATTTTGTATGTGTGTGTGTGTGTGTTATATTTGAAGAGCCTGTAAAATGCATGTTTGTAATTATATTAAGACGGCTTGTGAAAGATCATTCAAATTGTCACAGAACTGTAATTGTAACCCCAAAAATAATAACTTACATTTATTTCAAGCTAAGACCGAACTTGCTTTCTTAAGGTTTCAGTCTCGACAAGCCATTCAAAATGCGGCGAATTCGCAGGCAGCGGTTCTTTCGCCGCCTGAAAATATACATATCTTTGTGTGTGTGTGTGTGTTATATTTGAAGAGCTTCTACCCTGCATGTATGTATTTGTAATTGTAAATTATTAAATTCGCTGCGTCAGTTTTTTTTTTCGTTCTATTTTCAACGTTCCTGCGCTCAACTAGGTTAAGTTTTGTCAACTCGTTTCTTTTCTTTCTTCCTTTCTTTCTTTATTGTTCTATCTTTCGACGCGTTCGGTTCGCAAAATTTTTGGCTCCGCAAAAAAGTTATACGAGAACTTTCTCTATGCCTCAGTAAAGGCGCGCCCGGTAAGTGGAAGGTAGAAATAAATCAGAATTTGGTATAGTATTTATGTTATTTACTTTATTTAACTTGTATTTGTTCGTCTGCTTGTCGAAGAAAAGGATATTGCAGTGCGCTCGCAGACGATTCCTTTATGCATGGCAGCCATTACGTTTGCTTGTGAAATACATTTATAATTTTTTTTTGTTTTCTTTTTCTGACATTTAAATATGTTTTAAGTTATTGCAAGTGTAGAATTAATAAGTATATTGTGCGGTTGGTAAAGCTAATTATTTGTTTTTGTTTTTTTTTTAACATACATCTAATTGGGTTTTTTTTTAACTATAGGTCGGCTGTAACCGACTACGCAATACTCTGCTCACAGGAGTTTTTTTTTTAACTATAGTCGTAATAAGTGTGTGTGTGTGTGCGTGTGTGCGTGTGTGTGTGTGTGTGTGTATTGAAATACCTTTGGAAAGCAACAAAAAAAGAAGGTCGGCTGTAACCGACTACGCAATACTCTGCTCACAGGAGTTTTTTTTTTTAACTATAGTCGTATTAAGTGTGTGTGTGTGTGCGTGTGTGTGCGTGTGTGTGTGTATTGAAATACCTTTGGAAAGCAACAAAAAAAGAAGGTCGGCTGTAACCGACTACGCAATACTCTGCTCACAGGAGTTTTTTTTTAACTATAGTCGTAATAAGTGTGTGTGCGTGTGTGTGTGTATTGAAATACCTTTGGAAAGCAACAAAAAAAAAGGTCGGCTGTAACCGACTGCGCAATACTCTACTCACAGGTGACTTTCAAACTGTGTCCAGTGACTTTCAAACTGTGATCATGGGACATGGAACCAATATGCTCATTTTCCGCTTTTGAAAGCAGGGTATGCAGCGTGGTGTTTGGGGGGCAATTTGATTGCACCGCGACACACAAATTAGAACATGCCGTCGGATCGGGCAACTGGTATGAGCACAATGAGAAATATGACCAGATTGCGCAAGACCAGGCGCCAATCGTTCGGGACGGCGTAGGGCAACAGGATGCGGGTTAGCCGATGCACCTCATGCGAGGCGCAAACAAATATGAACGATGTAATGATCATGTTGAGCGTCGGAAAGCCGGGCAACAGGACCAGGACGCCGTGTCGATCGGCGGCGAGCCAAATGTGATACTGGCAGACGAACAGCTCGAGCGAGATGCGACCGAACCAGGCAAAGAAACTGGAGTAGCGGGTGCGCAAAATGCCGGAAATATTGCGCAGCACGACATACCCGATAATGGGTATGAACAGGATATACGAGTGTATCTCCTCGCAGTTCTGAACGTTGCGGCAGAGCAGCGAGAAGGCCGTATAGATGCCGACGCCGAGCAGCGCCAGCAATGTGACCGAAATGGATGTCCTTCGCGAGAACAGATTGCCATGATTGTTGTCATCGAACACGCTGTACTTTTGGGCAATATGGAAGCAGGCCGCATAGATCATGCCGTAGGTGACCGTATAACGGTCGAGCTTCCATTGATGCCACCATTCGTGGATGTCGTCGTCGGTTGTGACGAAGAGCGCCTTCCACGGGCGCGTCACGAAGATGCGCTCGAAGAAGACCTCGGACATGAAGAGGACCGTAATGACGCCCAGACAGCCAATGCATTTGCTGACGAGATAGAGATAGTGCAGCGGATTGGCGTCCACCGAGGCGGAGGTGATGCGCGGCGGCAGCGACAGCACAAAATAGATGACGCACAGCCAGAAGGAGAGCAGCGGCACAAAGTAATAGAACTGATACGGACGATTCATGCAGAAGCAGAGCAGAATGCTCAGAAAATTCAGCCGGAACATGGCCTGGAAGAAGCGGACGAACATCGAGCCGGAGCCGCCCGTCAGCCAGATGTGCGTAAAGTGCGCGTAGCCGGTGAGAAAAAAGTAGCCCGAAATGAGCAGCTTGATGTGCATGTGGATGGGCAAAATGCGCTGGGCACCGGTCATATAATAGATAAGGACCACCAGCAGGATCCAGCCGCGCAGCTCGTCCGTCTGCTGCCGGTTGAGCACCTTGGTGAAGCGCGACTCCTCCGTAAAGAATAGGCCCAAGGCGAAGACATATGCCACGGGTATCCAGAAGCTAAACTCCGAGTAGTATTTGTTCTCCTTCATGAAGAAGTTGGTGCGATCGCACAAATAGAAATACGCCATGATGAGGCCCAGCAGCGACAAAGCTACCAGCGGCGTGCCATAGTCCGTGATGAGCACGGCCAAAGCGTTGGCCGGATGATGAGAGTGCGACGAGTGCTGATGCTGCTGCTGCTGGAGCGGCACGTAGAGCGTGTGGCCGCGCAGGTGGAGGAGCCAGCGGCGCAGGCACATGCCGCCGACGAGGGCAATGCAAACGCCAAAGAGCGCGTAGGCGACGATTTGGAGACTCGTGTACGGCTCGGCGCTGCTGCAGCAGGTGCCATCGTTGTAGTTCATCTGATCGTTGCAGTACATATTCCAGAGCAGCTGCACCTCGAGCCGTTGGCCGTGCGCGCTCAACCGATGCCCATCGATGGCATTGTCCAGCAGTCCGTTGGCAATGTGCCAGGCCGACTCCCAGACCCTCGCGTCCGTATAGCGAAAGACGTTGCGTGCCACATTGTTCAGCCGATCGATGTCGTCGTTGTGTACCAGCTTCCAGGCGGACGGCAGCTTCTCCTCATCGACCCGGTCCGCCAGCTTCCAGAGAACGCGCGACGATTGCGCCACGAGACGATGAAAGGGCGCCACGAGTAACGTCAAATTGACGCTATATTGTCGCAAGAGCTCGTCGGTCACGTTGCCGGCGAGCTGTGCGCCATAGGTGAGCCCCATCACATAGACGGACGACAGCTGCTTCTCCTGCTCCAGCTGGTAGAGGCGATCGATTAGCGCAGGGCTCACCTCGCTGGCGCCAATATACTGCACCAATATGTCCAGTTTTTTGTCCTCGAAGCGCGCCACATTCGCCCGTGCCGAGCCATTGTTATCGTACTCATCGTCCAGCTCGTCGCCCGGCTGCGCCAGCTGCAGCTGCTCCACGAATCGCTCGTACAGTAGCCGCACGCTCCGGTCCCCGATGAACACAAAGTTGTTCTTGTTGCCAAAAAATGCCAAATAGCGCAGGCAGCGTCGCGTGTCGCTGCAAATCGCAAAGAAAAAAAATAAGTGTGATAACGAATTTCAATTTGGTGAGTCAACACGCCGATAACGGCAGCTTAACCCGGAATGAGTGTGCTCGATCACCGGATACCCTGTTCACAAAAACAAAATGCCAAAGTGAGTCAATCTCAAGCTGCGTTTGCAAAGACAACTAATTGCACTTCAAATCGGCGCCTGTCATCGCTAAGAAGACTATCGATAATTATCGATTTCAGCTAAAGAGGCTGAATTATCGATCGACTCCAAATTGACAGTGTCCTGTTTCTCCTGCGTTTGCAGAGACAACTAACTGCACTTTAAATCGGATGTTTTTTTAGCGCCTGTCATCGCTAAGAAGACTATCGATAATTATCGATTTCAGCTAAAGAGGCTGAATTATCGGAATTAGCGGAAGGAACATAAACTCCAAATTGACAGTGTCCTGTTTCTCCTGCGTTTGCAAAGACAACTAACTGCACTTCAAAGAAGAAGACTATCGATAAATATCGATTTCAGCTAAAGAGGCTGCATTATCGGAATTAGCGGAAGGAACATAAACTCCAAAATTGACAGTGTCCTGTTTCTCCTGCGTTTGCAAAGACAACTAACTGCACTTCAAATCGGATGTTTTTTTAGCGCCTGTCATCGCTAAGAAGACTATCGATAATTATCGATTTCAGCTAAAGAGGCTGAATTAGCGGAATTTACGGAAGGAACATAAACTCCAAATTGACAGTGTCCTGTTTCCGGATATAGACAACTGCATAATTCTGTAAGCGTAGGATATATGCCTGTTAGGGTAGGGTATATACGCACAATTATCGATCAGCGTAAGAAAATAAACTTCAAATTTACAGTTCCCTATTCCCGGTTATAAAGAAGCTGTAGTGCCTAACAATTACATGAATTTGTAAGGGTAGGGTATATGCCTGTAATGGTAGGGTATATGCCTGTAAGGGTAGGGTATATGCCTGTTATGGTAGGGTATATGCCTGTAATGGTAGGGTATATGCCTGTTATGGTAGGGTATATGCCTGTCAATTATTGTAGGTCAAGAGCTCTGTTTAAACACAAGAGAATCTTTATTCCAATTTTGGTGCTTCTCGAGACAAAAAGTCTAGACTGAAAATCGATAATTATCGATTTCGGATAAGCAGGGGCATTTATCGATGACTTGACCAGATTTGCGTAAGTTATACAAGGAAAACTGTTTCAAATTTGGAGTTTTTGCTCAGACAAACGAAACGGACATGTGGTGTGAATATACCCCAATTGCATTTTTCAATGGGTACGCGGTAGATAGAAATGCGGGGCTGGGCCCGCGACTTACGTGTAGGAGTACTTGTGCATCATGCAGCCGTAGGGCTGCCACTCGTTGTCGCCTTTGAAGCGGCCCTTGGACAGCAGCCATTGGCAGGAGTCGCTGCCTGTGAATGAGAGAGGGAAATAATTAAATCAAATCCAGAAAGAGAGAGATGCCAGAGATCGATAGACATTTATCGATAAACGCACCGTAGTTCCAATTGAGCAGGCCGTGGTAGAGCACAAAGCCGAGCACAAGCAGCAGCGCCACCTTTTTGGCATTTTTCGCATTCAGCTGCTCCATTAACAGATCCGCCCGGGTCGGTATGCGCTGTACTCCGGCTTCCGAGGAGCTGCCAATGCAAATGCCGCCCAGCTCGCCAGCGCTGTCCCCTTTGCCAGCAGCAGCAGCAGCAGCAGCTGCAGCGCGCAGCTCGCGCAACTCCATGGTGGAGTCTGAGTGAGTCGTTGCGTTGGCAGTGTGTGTAGCTTTTACCTGATGGCTGTTCGCATCTTTGGCCCAATTATTGTGCTCACCTTGCGTTGCACACGCTTTTCACAGCGCAGTAACTCGGTTTATGCAGCCGTTGATTTTGTGCTTTTGCGCTACAGCCGGCCGATAGGCGGCCCTTTTGCTATTTTGCAATTAATCGTCTGCCGCCCCCCCAACCAGTCAGCTGTTCGATAACTCTTATCGATATGCAACATTTGTGCCAGTTGCAGCGAAATACACCGTGACGTCATAAGCACATAACGGAATTTGCGGATAAATGCCATCCACCAATGTTGGTAATTATTATAAAAAATACATAATCATCTTAACACTGCCAGAAACACACACTTATACAAAACATGCTGCGCCGTAATTGGTAAATTTTGTAAATTTTGATACAGTATTTTGTAAGTTTTGCTACATGGTAATTTGCAGCAAAGGGCAGCCGTAATTACAACAAATACAACTCCATATGCAAGACTATGACGTCACAAGCGCACACTTTACATCATTTCACAGCAATGCAATTTAAACTTTTTAAACTGCAAATAGCACACAAATATATTTTAAATGAAATGTTCCTTTATATCTTAGACATTTTGAAATTTTGGCACAAATCTTTATTTCGAGTGGCAGCCAAACATTTTCAAATCGCGCGCCAACTGCAAAGTGAGAGAGCATAAAGATTACTCAACACTACTTTACTGCCGTAAAGACACTTGTGTAACCTTCGATTTAATTTTATTTAATCTGCAAATAGCACACAATTATATTTTAAATGAAATGTTCCTTTACATGTTACACATTTTGAAATTTTGGCACAAATCTATTTATTTCAAGTGGCAGCCAAACATTTTCAAATCGCGCGCCAACTGCAAAGTGAGTGAGCATTAAGATTACTCAACACTACTTTACCACTTGTGTAACCTTCGATTTGATTCATGCGGCGAATTCATTTTGCCGGCAGTCTGCAACGAGATGAGGAAGCGCTAACAAATTCGATTTTTTGCGTTCTATTTACAGAGAGCAAGCAAAATGCACGATTTGCGCGCCTTAAACAACTGCGAGGTGTTCAAACAAATACGCGTCGAGCTGATCGACTACCACACAAAAACCAAGCGTCTAAACAGCTTCATTTATTTTAGCGGTAAGTGAGTAAGTAATTATTGTTAAATCGAAATTTTGCGTGCAACTCTCTCGGCAGGCAACGAGGAGAACATACGAAATGTGGCGAAGCGCGTGCTGCATGTGCTGCTGGAGCACGGCCTCGTCGAGCAGCAGCCGCAGCAGCAGCCCCAGCTGGTCAAGCCGAATCCCAGCGCCGATTTGGATCAGCTGCGCGGCACGCTGATGTATCTCGTCCTGAACAGCGCGGCGGGCAGGAGCCCGAAGGAGGAGCAGGAGCTGGCACAGTGGAATCCGCAGTGTGTGCACCTGCTGAAGCAATTGCCGGAGCCGCTGCCCCAGCTGCTAACCTTGAGCGTGCTGCTGCTCTGCGGCCTGCAGCAGCAGCTGTTCGAGTTCTTGGCCTGCGGCCCGCATTGGCTGACATCGCAGTACTTTGATTGCCTCAACAATCTGCTGGGTCATTTGGTGCCCGGCAAGCGGGAGGCGCTGCCGCTCATTGGCGGCGCACTCTCCGCCGTGGGCAAGGCCATCTGCTACCTGGCGCATCCGCCCAATCTCAGCCTGGTGGACAATGCGCTGCGCCTGCTGCAGCGAAATTTACTCAACAGCGAGGAGCGACTGCGCTCGCTCGGCTCGAAGAAGAAGCAGCAGCGCTATCTGGGCGAGGCCATGTGCGCGCTGCTCGACGTGCTGCTCGAGATATTGGCTGCAGTGCAGCAGCCGGAGGAGCCGGAGCAGCCGGCCTACTTTCCCGTCTACGCGCTGCACTCGCCGGGATCACAGCAGGAGGATCCGCCGTCTTTCTCCGAGCAGCTGCGCGAATATGCACGCAAGTTGATGGATCAGCTGCAGCTGCTGCTGCCGCACATTAGCGTGGACACGTACATGGCCTGGCTGGAGTTGCCCTCCGGCCAGCTGCTGTTCCACCTGCAGGCGCACGTGTGCAACAAGTGCCTGGAGCTGACCAAGCAGCTGGAGCGGGATGACATCCTCAGGACGCACACGCTCCGCGCGCAGCTGGGCAATTTCACGGACGGCGCCCAGACGTTCGAGCAGCGCCTGGACACGCTCACCCTGGGCGAGCTGCTCGGCCTGCTCGATGGCCAACTCGATGACGACGACGACCAGCAGCAGCTCCGACTCGCACTCGACGCGCTGCTGCGCCGTCCCATTTGCTTTGGCAGCGACGAGTGCGTCGAGACGCTGGCCGGGCACATCCGCTTGCTGGGCGCGGAGCATGCCCAGCTCATGCTGGAGCATTTGGGCCAGGTGCTGGCCCTCGACGACGACGACTTCGATCCGTATACGGAGCTGCTGCAGCACGTTCTGCTGCCCATCTATCAGACGCGCTGCAGCAGCCAGGAGAAGCTGCAGCTGCTCCACAGACGCGACCAGCTGCAGTTGCTCAACCGCTTCACGTTCCAGCGCGACGACAATCACAATTCGCGTCGCATCTATTTCTACAATCAGCTCGGCTGCTCCGTGGAGCGCTTTCCGCTCGACCAATTTCTCGAACTGTGCTGGGAGAATCCCGCCCAGACTTGGCTCAATCTCGCCCAGCTGGCGATGACCCATCGACGCTACGCCAAGCTCTACTTTCACATCGCCGCCAGCTGTCTGCCGCATGCCCTGAACCATGTCGCCCACACCATCAGCTGCCTCCTGCTCGATGGACGTCTGCTCCGCGAGAGCTCCGGCGGCGATCTGCTCGTCCGGCTGTACGAGCAGCCGGTGCTGCTGAATGGCATGCGCTATCGCCAGCGCCAACTCACGCTCAATCTGAATCTCGACGCGCTGCCATATAGCGCCAAAGAGCTTCATGCCGCCCAGGACAACTATCTGGTTGCCTGCGCCGCCGGCCTGGCCAAATTCACCGAGACGCGTAACTATATGGCGCTCGAGCGACTGCTGAAAACGTTGCTCGGCCTGGAGGCGGTCGAGCAGCGCATTGTGAGCTCCACACACAAATCGCACAAGGAGCAGCGACAGCGTCTCGCCCAGCTGAAGCTGGCACGGCACAAGCTGCAGCAGGCCCGGCACAAGCTGCAGCTGGCCCGGCACAGGCTGCAGCTGGCCGGCGGCTATGTGAAGCTGCACGTTCCGCTCAGCTCGTGGCGCATCAGCAACTGGCCGCTCGCTTCGCAGATCATCCTGGTCATGGATCAGCTGCGCGGCACGCTCGAGACTTTCGAGCTGGCGCGCATCGCGGTGCTCGATTTGCTTGTCGAATATCACATTAACAACATGGCGCGATCCGTGCTCGTGTCACCAGGTGAGCCGCAGATTTCCCCCCCAAATCTCTAGAGAAGATTCATTTGATCCTTGCAGATTTGCAGTACCGGCTGGAGCGGCTGATCGGGTCCGGGCTGCAGCATGCGCATCTGTGGAAGGGCGAACAGTTGGCCGCCTTGCTGGAGGATCCCGACAAGAAACGCGAGGCCAGCGAATACACAATGGTACGAAAAAATGATCCATAAAATGAAAATTTCTGAAATTCAATCATTTTCAGCTACTGCGTCAGGCCTCAACTTTGGAGGCCGTCAATCTGCTGAGCGGCGCTATCCGACATAAGTTGGACGGCGCGGTCATGCAGAGCCTGGCCGAGCAAGTGAATCGGCTCAACTCACCGAATTCGCAGCATGCTTACGGGTTTCTCTTCAAGTGCTATATGCTGGCGCTTAATCGGGAGCTTATTGGCGGCGCCAATGCCAGCGATTATCCACGTCTGATTGAGCATATATTGCGTACGCCCAAGCTACGTATGCCCGAGAATCTATTGGCGGCCGTTGGCAATCTGAAGATCCTGCTCGGCCCGGTGGGCATTGTCGGCAAGACGAGCATCCTGCAATATGTCAGCCAGAGTCTTGCCATGTCGCCGGAAAATTAAAAATTACAGTATTACAGTATGCCAACTAATACATATTCAATATGTACATCAAAATCAATAAGAAATACAATTACATTTATCTATATAAACATGTTTGTCCTGTTACTTAAATAAGCTGCTAGTTTCTTGGCGTTTGAATCGCTTATTTTTGGCGGCCTGAATTCGCCGCTGCTGCATGAACGCAGAGTTGCATCGCGTACAGTGTCGTGTGGCGTTGCCGCATTTTGCCGGATCTGGCAACTTTAAATGCCGGCTGGTCTGGTACGCTATGGTTGACGCATGCGTCTGACGTACATATGTGTATGACGGCGGTGACTGATTTTTTTTTTGCATACGAAAAATTCGCTGCTAAAAGTACGAAGATAAAGTGCGTGAAAATAACGTTAAAGTCAGTTTGAAAGCGTAACGTATTTATCGAATTGCACATTAACGGCTCGAGTGAATTGCAAACAACACGTTGATCGTCAGTTTTTGCACGCAACAACCTCGTGTATTTAATTTTTTTGCGCATACATTTACCGATATTTTTTGGTGGCTACACAGACATAAGGCTCAGCAGACACACAAGCATAGCGACAACGCAACGCAACGACGACGACGACGACAAGAACGAGCGACGACAACGACGACGGCGACGACGACGTGAAGCGCAGTGAAGAAGAAAAAAAAAAACAAGCGAAATCGAAAGCAAAATTTGTCGAGTCGCGTCAAAAAAATCTTGAAAGTGTGTGCTAAGCTGAAAGAATTCGAAACAAAAGTAGCTCGAAACTCCAAAATAGAATAGCGCAAAACACACACAGAACGTAAGTGAAGAAAAGGTAACAAATATATATAATTGCAATAGCCACAATTGTTTCCATTGTTCCCAATTATTCCCCAGGCAGAAGCAGTAGCAGTAGCAGCAGCGCAGCATCGTTGCAAATTACAGCCAAGAGGACGACAGGAATCGGCAGTGACGTATACAACTACTACTAATCAGCAGCAGCGGCAGCAGCAGCAGCAGCAGCACAACAACAACCACATCAAAATGAATAAAGCACCACAATTTGAAGTTCCGCTGACCATTGAGCCAGAGCATGAGTTGCGCTTTATTGGTAAGTGCATATATGTGTGTGTGTTAGTGTGTGTGTGTGGGTTGGTGTGAATTTGAATTAGAAAAAGAAGAAGAAGCCAGTGTGTAGAGCTGCATTTGCTCTTGCATTTGTTTTGTTTTGGACTTGACATCATGGGCCATCCAAAGAGAAGGTCACTTGTGTCTCTGTGTGTGTGTGGCGGCATATCGATCACTTTTATCCAGCGTTGGGCAAGTGAATGCGTATTGTAAACATTGCTACAAAGTGCTGCTCTGGCGGCGACCGACGAGCAAACTGCAAAGTTCACACAAACACGCACACACACACACACACGCGTACACATGCAGACGACTGGCAGGGCCGCTTCTTCTCGTTTCTCTTTTTCTCTCTCTCTATTCACTTTGCGTTATTTTTTACGTTTGGCCACAGCTTATCAATAATTTTGTTGTTTTAGTTTTTTTTTTTGACATATTTTTGAGGGTACGTGTGTGCGGCTGTTTTGGCATGTTGCTGCCACCAGCGCTGCGACTGCGAGCAGCGCCACCAACTGGCGTCGTTTCATTTGGAAATGCCGCTCTACGTTTTCGCCCTCTCTCTCTCTATTTTGCGCGCGCTCTCTCCCTCTCTCCCTTGAGTTTTTGTGAAAAACCTTTGGGCCGTGCGCGCTGTCTTAGTCGCTCGCCTTTGGGGCCAACATTTTATTTTTATACTCGAACAGCTTTTCATGAGCCATTTTTCCTTTTACTTTTTGAATTTTCGGCCAAATAACAACAACAATGCATATGACAACACACTTTGATTTCTAGTGCGCACAGTGGGACACAAAAAGCTGTAAACAGGTGACATTTTATCATTTATGCCCACAGTAGACACATGTGCGTGAGCATGTGTTGGTATTAAGCACACACACATACATACATACACATGTCGCCTGTCGCTTACCATTTCCCCAACGATCGGTGACAGACTGTCCACACGCACACACACACACACACACACGCACACACAACTGTACGTATGTATGTATGTATTGGGCGTCTTATTGAATGAGTTTTCCTTCAAAATAAAACAAAATCAGCGAAACACCAGAAATTTTCTTGCATGCGCGTGTGTGTGCGTGTGTGTGTGTGTGTGTGTGTGTGTGTGTGTGGTGTTTGCTTTTAATTCAATTAATTTGACATGAAAAACCAAAACCAAATTATCACTTGGGATGCCGACCGACGCCGAAATACCCTACAAAAATGATCAGGTCCTCGATGAGGAGGCGCTCGCTGCTGACAACTTCGCTGACATGTCACAAGCTTAGCTGACAATCTCAGTGACAAGTCATCGAGAGTGTCTTGCTTTTGCTTGAATAGCACAAAAAAAACTAAGCTAACCCAACTATCTGGGAAAGCACAACTTTTCTCATTCAAAAAGAATGCGAGATGTCATGCAAGACAACCCTCAGGACAGGTCATCAAGCGCGTCTTGCGTTTAACGAATCTCATTTGTCACTTAGCTAATGTACCCAATCGAAATTTATACGAAAAGTGACGCAATCTTGAAGTGCGCTAGAAAACAAAGTATCTCGGGAATTCTCGCTGCTCGACCGACACGAACCTAAAGTTCAAATACCAATTTATAAATATATGTATCTATATATCTCAATGCTTTTATTTGCAGGTCCATTCAATAGGCCCGTGGTGACAATCATGACCCTGAAAAACAACTCGGCCATGACGCTGGTCTTCAAGATCAAGACCACGGCACCGAAGCGCTATTGCGTACGTCCAAACATTGGCAAGATTGCGTCCTATCGTTCGACGCAGGTGGAAAGTGAGTTGAATGCAAATCCGATTCTATTTTGATTAACTCATTTCCCATTCGCTTCTCTCTCTCTCTTTTGTTGCAGTTTGCCTGCAGCCTTTCATGTACGATCAGCAGGAAAAGAACAAGCACAAGTTTATGGTGCAGAGCGTCCTGGCACCGCAGGATGCCGATTTGACTGATCTAAACAAGTTGGTAAGCATCTCCCCCGCCTCTCTCTCTCTCTCTCTTGCATCAAGCAGAAAGAAGCATCCTTAAGCATATATATGCTTGAGCTGAGTCGAACTCGGCTTGTAGAAGTCGTTTCTAGCTGTATATTAATAAAAATCGGACTCTAAGCACCGATTATGCAGAATGTTTGTTAAGCTAGCACGGAGCTAGTTGAAACTCAGTTAAAACTTTACCGACTAGAGCTTGGCTAATTAATGTTCTTTGTTTTTTGTTGCAGTGGCGGGAACTGGAGCCGGATCAGCTAATGGACGCCAAGCTAAAGTGCGTATTCGAAATGCCGCCCGCCGAGGCGAACAACGCCGAGAACAACAGCGGCGGCGGCGGCGGCGCCGGCGGCAGCGTGGGCACAAATCCGCCCACCTCACTGCTCGGCACCGGCGAGACGCTCAAGAGCGATGCGCCGGCAATGTCCGCCGTGGTCCAGGTGCCTAAATCTTTATACCCTATATATAACTCAATATTTACATTCTATCTAAATTGCAGTCATCGAATCTGTCCGATGCTGCGGAGCATGCCGAAGCCCTGGCGGCCGAGCTTGAGAAGATACGCGAACAAAACAGCGAACTGCGAAAAGAGAATCTACATTTGAAGGTAAATCCAACTATTTTATGCTACCATAAGTTCAATCATCTAGAACTAGATCGGTTCTTATGAACGATGCATTCCACTGTTGTTTCGATTCGGTTTGTTCCGTTGTGCTTGAACAATTCATTCCATTGAGCCTAGATAGCGGCCTTGCCCGTGGCAAGTATCAAATTAAATCCCTCAACCGATTGAAGCTGATCGAACGGTAAACAAACAACTTTCAACCGTTTTTCGCCAATTTTCCACTGTTGCGGGTGGATTCTCCCAAGCACGTATGAACTGAGTTCTTGTGTACGTTTAGAAATTAGCCCAACAAATTCTTGAATCGCACTTTTCACCGAGAAAAGCTTGGATTCTGCGAAAAGTGTGAAACACGTCTCAAATGATATTTCATATAGATCCTTGGAAATAAATTTGAGCCCCATTTCCACCAAGAGGGCATTTTTCGAGAAGTGTAAAACACTCCTCGAATGAATTTGAACAAAGATCTTTGAAATTGAGTTTGAGGCCGATCGGATGGTAAACAAAAAAGTTGTATACAAATGTTTTTCCCGATTTTTCCACACTTGCGAGTGGAATTTAGAAATGAATTATTTGCAGCGTTCATGAACCAAATGAACTAAAGAAAATGCTTTGTTCAATTTCGACTGAATTAAATGACCGATTTTAGTTCGCTTATCACTGAATAAGTTCAATAGATTATTTGAAGAACCAGTTCAATTGAACTTAGTATACAAACTAATGAATAAGATCAACAGATTTGAAGAACCGGTTCAATTGAAGTTGGTATACAAACTAATGAATAAGTTGAATAGATTATTTGAAGAACCAGTTCAAATGCAAAACTAATGCATAAGTTCAATAGATTATTTAAAGAACCAGTTCAAATACCAACAAATAAATAAGTTCAATAAATTATTTAAATAACCAGTTCAATTGAACTTAGTATACAAACTAATGAATAAGTTCTAATAGATAATAGATGAAGAACCAGTTCAAATGCAAAACTAATGAAAAAGTTCCAATAGATTAATTGATGAACCAGTTTCACTGAACAAAGTATACAAACTAATGAATAAGTTCAATAGATTATTTAAAGAACTAGTTCAAATGCAAAACTAATGAATAAGTTCCAATAGATTAATTGATGAACCAGTTCAATTGAACAAAGTATACAAACTAATGTATTTTTTTTTTTTGTATTTATCTTTTCCATTTCAAGGATCAAATCACACGCTATCGGAGCTCTCCGGCCACCAAGCAGATCAACGAGCCGTATGCTCCAGTTCTGGCTGAAAAACAGATTCCGGTCTTTTATATAGCAATTGCAATTGCTGCCGCCATTTTGGGTCTGTTGCTTGGCAAGTTTTTGCTCTGAATGCCATGAATACAACAACTACAACAACAACAACAACAACATCAGCAACAACAACAGCAACAACAGCAAGAAGTAGCAACAACAACGAACACAGCAGCAACAACAACAACAACAACAACAACAAAAACTAAAAAAAAAATCCATTTGCTGTGTGGCGGCAATTCCCTAAAAGTTTAACAATTGTTTAAATATTTGCTCACTTGAAATTAATAATCATTTCTGTTATACTATACTACAACAACAACAACAACAACAAGAACAAGAAGAAGAAGAAGATGAACATTGTCAAAATATTAATTCAATTGAGCAAAATTTGTAATTTGTTTTGGCCATCGAAACTCTCAAAATTATGTACACACACACACACACATACGAAACACACACACACATATATATATACACACACGTAATGGACACATGTTTATATAATGTAATTGTTAAAGTAAAAACGAAAATAACCGTAAGCAAAACTGCAACTTGCATCAAAAAGTAATCGGCAATAGCAAACTACTTAAACAGCCGGAGAGAGTGAGAGAGAGAGAGAGAGAGAGAGACGGGTAGACAGTAGTCTCTCTTGCTCTCTCCCTTCTCTCCGTGCAGCCAGCAGCCAGTCAATCATTTGCATGCACTATAAAGCGTGCTCCCTCTTGTCTCTCTCTCTCTCGCTCTCGCCCTCTTATTGTTACATACTCTCTCTCTCTCTCTCCCTCTCTCTCTCTCTATCGCTATCGCTCCATAAAAAGTTGAATGCGGCGTTGCGCGTGCGTTGTTGCATTTGCTGCTTACACAATTTTTACCGCATAACCTGCACACACACACACACACACACACACACATGATCCATATATTTATATGCACACATACACACATACACACGACACACGCACACGCACGCACCCAATTATAAATGGTTTTTGTTGTTTTGTGAGACGAAGAAGAAGAAGGAGATGGAAGAAAAAACAAAAAAAAAAAACTCCGCACGCGCTGACCGCGAGGAATTGTTTCAGCTAGCTGGGAAAAAAGTTATATTTAAAATTTATTTTATTGTTTTTATTGCACTTGCATTTACTTTTAATTCATTTTGGATTTGCTACGGTTCATTTGCCAAGTATAAACATATACACATATACATATAAAAACACACATTAACTGTAAACAAACATAATAAATGTCAAAGAAAAACAAAAGAGAAAAACTAAAAAAAAAAAAACATAAAAAAAAAAAACAAACAACATGCATATTATGAATTTATATAAATGTGTATGTATTTGTGTTGTTGCAAATTCCTAAAATAAAAACGCAAAACTATGCAGAAATCAGTTCAGTTTACAAAAACAAAAACAAAAACAAAATAAATATAAAAAATACATTTAAACAAAAAAAAAAAACAAAAAATACACTGCAAAAGTTTCTATTCGCTGACAAATGCATGTGGAAAGAAAAAAGAGAATTCAATCAATTTTTATAAACATTATTGACGAAACTGTTGAAAAGAAAAAAAATCGACACATTGTTAATGCAGTTTATGGGTTTAGCATATTTCTATTTAAAATGTAAATTACTTCTTTTTTTTCCTCCAAAATGAACTTGTTTTTTTTTTTTTTTAATATATATATATACACATATGCAAAACATCTATATATTTGTATTATCTAAAACATGTACTATATAAAAAGGAGCAGACATTTTTCTCTGTTGAAGTGATTCATCAAAGAAAAAGATGCAAAATGCAGCTTCGACTAATTTTGTTTCACATTTTGCAAAGCATTGAAAAAAGGGTATATAGATTTATATATATATATATATATATATATAAAATGCTGTATTTTCATAGACATGATTTCGTATTAAATGTTTAACCTAGAAATACAGTCAACAAAAATGCAAATAAACGCATCTAAGCAAAAATCATACGCAAATGTACTTGATGTCAGCTGTAGCAAAAAAAAAACAAAACAAAACAAAAATAAACAAAAATAAAAATAAAAATAAACAAAAATGAAATGAGAAACAAATTCAATTCAACAAATGTTTAGCTGCAAAATTCCAACTGCTTTGAGGAAATGCGAGTTTGCATGGAAAGCCCAAAACGGGAAATTGAATGAAATAACAAAATCGAATATCTAAAAGCTAAGTGTTTTTTTCTCAAAGGAAAATAAAAAAAGAAGCAAAAAGCAAAAACAAATAAAAACATTGTTAATTAAACATCAAATATCATTTAAAAATAAATTGAAATAAATTAGCAGCCGGTTCAGTTGCTCATACTCCATAAATCAAAGAACGCGCCCAATGCGACTTATCGATATCGACCTATCGTTGGGCGGCCTCACGGACGAAAACCTCGATTGATTTGCCAGTGTTTGGTATCGATGCAAGACGTCCACAAAAATGAATCGATTCAACGATGCGCAGCCAGCGGGGTATCGATGCCGCACTGCTTGAAGGAAGCTTTTGGCTTTGGCCCCGCAACGGCAACGGGCCAAACAGTTTGCGACTGACAACGCACCGCATCCCATTGTCTCCTGTCTGTGATGCTGTAGTCCTGTACCTGAGTGTAAACAAATCGCACGTGCTATAAATAACTGCTAATCACAGTCTACTCAAATGTAGGACAACTAATGGTGACAAATTTGATAACATATATTTTTTTTAACCGATTTGAATCCTACGCTGCATACTCTTGCGCGCCAAATGTGTTCCTTTTTCTTTTTGTTGTTGTTGTTGTTTTTTGTTTTTTGTTTAGCGGAAATGCATTTAATTTAAGCACCTGTTCAACTCAAAGGGAAACTTCTAATTGAGTTAACTGCCTCCCGGTGGCGGGCAATGCGGAGGCCAGGTGAGCGGCAGGACATGCGAGCACGCGCCTAACGCAATTAGCTTTGTATTATTTTCAAAGCAACACACACACACACACAGAGATACACAAAAAGATGCTGCTGCTGCAATCACACATGCACAATTAGTGCGTCCTCGCACTCAATGCCAAGGTCCAACAGCAACTGCAACAAGTAGCCACACAATGAAGCGGACGTCACTCACACACTCACACACACACTCACACACACGCGCGCGCCCAGAATCCACCCATTTAATTGCTCGCACTCAATGCACACGTGTAGGCTACTTATATCTGCTTATATACATATACATACATGCGCATACATGTGTGCGTGTGTGTGTGTGTGTATGCTAATACCACCTTAATACTGCGAAAGCTCGCGCACGGTTCCCGCTTGAACATAACGGTGCTTAGAAAAATTTTGAATAAAACAAGCAAAGCAAGTATGAGCCTGACTGCGAAATACCCTGTTGTTACAAACGTACTAGCTTCCACTCTCCTCTCCTCTCTACATACACAAAGCACTCGCATACACACGAACGCACTGTGCTTCTTCTTCCCCTTACATGAATGTATATTTGTTGATTACCTTCGATCTTTCGCTCTCATAGCAAAGCGCAAGGCTTTACCGTTTGAAATGAGCTTCTCTTTATTTGAATTTCGAATGCGAAGAGGCATCACAAAGTGAAATAATAATCTTCAGCTCTTTAAAACATGATGCAGTGAAAGCCCGCTAGAGCGCGCTTTATGCGAAAGATATTTTTCGTCTGAAAAATGGCAAATCTCGTTAAAAAATGTTCAAAGCACGCTTTTGTTTTTACAGTCGCGTTCCTCATTAGTTGGCCAGCTTAACTAGTTAGAGCTTATGAATAGTATTATTTTCTTTTTTTTGCCCTCTCCGCTTTCAAAGGAAATGTACTTGGTCAGCTTAAGCTAATTAGTGGACTAATCAAATAAATAATAATAAACAAGGACATGCGCTTTTTGTACTATATGCGTGACAGCTTGTGCCAAGCTCAGCATCCATCTGGCGGCCAGTGTTGTCAACTGTCGCTGCAACAAAAAAAAGTGTTATTAGCTAGAAATAGCTGATTTAGCTTGCTGCGCATAAGTTGTTGGCAAAAAAAAACCAGCTAAATCCGTTAAAAATCTCTCTCTTTCTCTCCGCTAACGAGACATTTCGCTGAAAAAGCGCCGAGTCGGCAACACTGGCAACATTTTAGCTCCCCCCCTCCCTGTTCTGCGAACTTGCGTCTATTTTTGAGCAGTTGTCGACCCAAGGCCATCCTTTGCGATCCCATAATCCGCTTTGCAATGCGGCGTCCTTTGGCCAGTCCTGGACCCGGACCCTTCTCCCTGCTCCCCTCTCCCCCCTTTTCTCCTTTTCTCTATACATGAGCGTATTTTTTTGTATTTAATTGTGGCCACGGGAAAAATGTTCGCTTGACATCTTTCGAATGAATTTTTTCTCAAAACTCCTTTCAAGAGCGACCCGAGGGTGACACACACACACCCTCACATACACGCACACACACGCACACACACTTAAGCACATTCCATCAACATTTCAATAAGCTTTATTTGCGCCCGTTAAGTTTGGGAGTCGCACAGCTCGACAGAAAATCAATAAATCTAGATTTAATGAGTTTGCAATATTTGGCAGCAGCTCTCCCTCTCTCCCTTTCTCCCTCTCCCTCTCCCTCCTTGGTATTCCCAATAGAATTTGATTGCCAACCAAAAGTTCTTCTTGCCGCTTGAGTTTTCGCCCCAAATAAAAGAGAAGGGGTTTAAAGTAGAAAAGGGAATTTTCCCAAGTCGTATTCCGGATGCTGGCAGCCATTTTGTTGCAAGACCTACATGAGAATAGCTGATTTTAGCAGCGAAGTTTTCAGGCATTCATGAAAAACAAGTTAGATGTTCTAGTCGGGAGCTCTCGACTAGGGGATACCCTGGACCCCTTTTCTTCCGACAGGCGATAGCAATAAAATGAAAGATACTTGATTTATATACTATTCTAGAAGCTACATGTCAAGTTTGGTGACTCTAGCTCATATCGATTTTTATCGATTACTTGGAAACGGGGCAAGTTATCGAATATCGGAAACAAACTCGATCTGCGCGGGGACTAGGAGGACCTTCAGCCAACATTTCAAGTCTCTAGCTCTTATAGGTTACGAGATCCTTGCGTTCATACAGACGGACGGACGGGCGGACGGACGGACGGACGGACGGACCTGACTTTAGCAGCGACGCTCGTTCGAGTTGAAATAGGAAGTGTTTAATTTTGTCGTGTAGTTATTTACATGTTGAAATTCTGATTACAAGGAAGGACATGCGGCAAGGATCTGCTGTGTACTTTTACGCACACAGACACACACACACTAGCAAGGACTTGCCTTTTATCCCGTTCCGTTTGGCCGTGAACCCAACTCAAGTTGCGAGCTAATGACACGTGCATCCGGCGTCTACTACAATCAATTATTTTCATTGGCAGGATGCTGCCCTAAAGGACATCAGCTGGAGCGTGAACAGAATGACGACCGCCAACATTGACTACGACTATCTGCTCAAGTTCCTCGTCCTTGGCGACTCCGGCGTGGGCAAGACCTGCCTGCTCTATCAGTATACGGACGGCAGATTTCACACCCAGTTCATATCCACGGTCGGCATTGATTTTCGCGAGAAGCGTCTGGTGAGTAGACCCTGTCCTCCCCCCACCCAACATCGAGATATGCAATTTGTGCTCCTTCCGGGTTTAGGTGTACAGCTCGCGCGGACGTCGGCATCGCATCCATTTGCAGATCTGGGATACGGCCGGACAGGAGCGCTTCCGTTCGCTAACGACGGCATTCTATCGGGATGCGATGGGCTTTCTGCTCATCTTTGATCTGACCAGCCAGAAGTCGTTCCTGGAGATAACCAATTGGCTGGAACAGCTGCGCATGCACGCCTATACCGAGGATCCGGACGTGGTGCTCTGCGGCAACAAGTGCGATCTGCTGCAGCTGCGCGTCGTTAGCCGGGAACAGGTTGCCGCATTGGCGCAACGCTATCGTCTGCCCTACATCGAGACGAGCGCCTGCACCGGCGCCAACATACAGCAGGCTGTCGAGCTGCTCGTCGGCCGTGTCATGGAGCGAATCGAGAACGCTGTCAGCAATCGCGACTTCACCCTGCTGATGGCTCAGTCACGCCGACTGCCCAACCTTGCCTACGGCCCGGAGCTGGTGCGTCTGCATCAGCCAAGCGACAATCCGCCACGCCGCAACTGCAACTGCTAAGTCGACCCGGGAGTCGGTAGTCGGGGGACGGGCACCGTAGCCCTACCCAAATCCATATCAAATTCAATTATCCATTGTTATATTGCGTTTATCTATATGTGTCTGTAAATAAATGTTGCTTGTTGATTGTTAATTCAACCTTCTTCAGAGTCCTAGGTCCCTATTACGACTTCCGCAAAGGTTGTCACAATAAGGCGGAGTCCGTAAATCACTTTGACATCTCTTTTGCACTTGCCTAGGTCTGTGTAAAACAATGTCCCGTTTTCTTGAAAGATGGGAAAAGAGGAATTTAATCAATCGATGGCCTTGGACTCGCCCGCAAGCGTCAACCTATTCCAAGCGAAGAGTCGCAGGTCCTTATTACGACTTCCGCAAAGGTTGTCACGATAAGGAGGAGCGGGAGGAACCACTTTGACATCCTTACCACGACAATATTCCGCTGGGATGGAAGTAAAGGAGCATGTTTCCTTGGGGTCTATCAGATCTCTCCTTCGTGTCTCGGGCTGGAGTTAAGAGCTCCATATTATTACTTTAGTCTTTGTGAAAATACGAGTTTAATCAATCGACGGCGGCAGCACAATGATCCAATCTTGGCCACATGAAGCGTCAACCTATTCCGAAAGAAAAAGTCCTAGGTCCCAATTACGACTTCCGCAAAGGTTGTCAGCATAAGCAAGATGGGGAGAGAGGGGTCATTCATAATCTCCTTTGGACTTGGTCCAGTTCTATGCAAAACAATAATTTTCTTTGAAGATAGAAAGCATGTTTCCTCGGAATCTATCAGATCTCTCTCCAAGCAAGCCCCACATTAAGCTAACCCAACCAAATAAAATTTGGACTTAACGGCTTACTAGCTACATTAATTTATTTACTTCCAGTCCCTAGCCTCTTGACCACAGCCAGTAGAAGGCGCTGCCAAGCCACAGCCAGATCTGTGGAGCTGCCGACAGCGTGGAGCTGCCGTTGCGCTCCTCGATCCATTGATGGTAATACTGGACGTCCGCATAGACGCCGGGCAGACCCGGCTCCGCACAGCCATAGCCCCACGAGACGATGCCAATGAGTCGGCCCGCGTACACCAGCGGTCCGCCGGAGTCGCCCTGGCAGGAGTCGGTGCCGCCACGCAGACGGCCAGCGCAGAGCATGCCCGGCAGCAGACCGCTGCCGTAGATGCTGGCACAGGTCAGGTGTCGTATGGTGCTCACATTCGCCGTCAGCAGCACGTTCGACAGCGAGCTCTGCAACGATGCGGGCGAGTTGAACTAGCGAACTAGCCGGTTGGGGGAGGTTAAGACTCACCTGTTCGGTGCGTCCCCAGCCGGAGACCTGGCATGTAGAGCCCGCGGGCGTCGCCTCGCTGGCCAGCTGTATGGGCGAGATGGTGGGATGGCTACGGTTGACGGCCAGGCCGTTGGTCAGGAACATGACACCCACATCGTCACGCATGCTGTCCGTGCTGAAGGTGTTCATGTACGCAATCGAGCTGACATAGCTGACAATTGTGTTATTGTTGCGCTCGTAGCGATTGAGCGTGCCCATAACGACAACGAACTCCTTGGCCTTGCGGTAGCGCTTCTTGGAGGTGCTGCAACACGGAGAAACACGGGCATTGAAGGTTGCTTTCTTTTCGGCGGCCAGGCCCCAGGCCGACCTTGACCTTGACTCACTTGTACAGGCAATGGGCGGCGGTCAGCACCTTGTTGGGGCCAATCAGTGACCCGCCGCAGATGTGCCCGCTCCCGAAGTTCTTGTCGTTCGAGCGCAGACGTATCGAGACCAGGTGCTTTGCCTCGGCCACGCTGGCAACCGTTCCATTGATGATCCGCGACTCGGGCAACTGACTCTCTGCTCCTGCGACTGTTAAAGAGGAATCCAATTTGTAGCTGACCAAGCAAATTCCCCACCTTTCCCTTCTAAATGAGTTTCCAGCGGAAGGACTTTTTCAAGGTAATCCAAATTAGGAATATTTTGTTGGAGTTCACGTGGAGTCGTTTCCTCCTCTCATTTTCCACTTGATTCAACCATGTTCTTCACTTTGTCCCCAACCCCTTTTCCCATCAATGGAAGAACCTAACGAAAGGACTTTTTTCAAGGTAATCCAAATTATGGACATATTGTTGGAGTTCCCAACCCCTTTCGCCATCAATGGAAGACCCTAATGGAAAGACTTCTTTCAAGGTAATCCATTATATTTTGTTAGAGTTCACGGGAGTCGTTTCCTCCTCTCACTTTCCACTTGATTCAACCATGTTCTTTACATTTTCCCCAACTCCTTTTCGCCATCTACGGAAGACCCTAACGGAAGGACTTTTTCAAGGTAATCCATTATATTTTGTTAGAGTTCACGGGAGTCGTTTCCTCCTCACACTCTCCACTTGTTCCAACCATCTTCTTCACTTTGTCCCCACCTCCTTTTCCCATTAATGGCAGAACCTTACGGAAGGACTTGCCTAAGGTAGTACGGATTATGGATATTTTGCTGAAGGTTGCCGGGAGTCGATTCTGCCCCCTCCCCCTCTACCTACCCCAATTATGCGCTTCACACTTCCCCCACCCCTCTAAGTAAAAAACCTGCCTAAGGTACTCTGGACTATGTTTATTTGGCTGGAGTTTGCCTCACTTCCTGTAACCAACCCCTCAAGCTGCCACATCCATGCTCTTCAGCTTGCCTCCAATTACCGGCAACCGCCTTATGAAAATACTTGCACTTTAGATTATGGAAATTTTTGTTAAAGTTCAGCGGGAGTTGTTTCTTGTAACCAACTCCCCCCTCTCCCCAGCCCCACCCCTCCCCTCTATTCGCCCAACTATGCTCTTTAGTGTGCCGGCTTTGGCCTTGCCGCCGTATCTTTGATGCTTGTATTTTACGTCAATTTCCGCCCTGTTGCAGCCACAACAAAACACAGCAGCGATGATTAACAAGAAGTTGAAACTTATCTACGCAATGCCGACCTGCAAATACCCTTGCGACAGTCTGATACGCCATCCTGACGGTAACTATCTATCGATAGCAGAATAGTGCTCCGATCTGAGGAATAAACCTATATTGACACAAAGAAGGATCTATTTTAGGTTACGACTGGAGTCTATTGATACTTCCCTCTCCCCTTCTTACCACCCTCTGCCTTACTCTCTCCTCTTCTCCGATCTGAGGAATAAACCTATCTTGACACAAAGATGGATCTATTTTAGGTTACAACTGGAGTCTATTGATACCTCCTTCTCCCTTACTCTCTCCCCTTCTTACTTCCCTCTCCCTTACTCTCTCCTTTCTTACTTCCCTCTACCTTACTCTCTCCTTCACTTTCATCAGCACTAAACATGTTGCCGATATTTACTATATCAGCTATATAGCTGGATCAGGCGATCTGATGAATAAACCTATCTTAACAAAAAGATGGATCTATGATAAGACTCTAGTCGTAGAGTCTATTGATACTTCCCTCTCCCTTACTCTCTCCCTTTTTCTCTTTTCTATCTCTCTTCTTTTCTGTATTTCTTTCTTGTATCTTCTTTTTTCATCCTTCTTCTTATGTATCCTTCTATGGGGTTACACATTTCATGACAAATTCAATATACTCTACAATGAAGGGCAACAAGACAAGAGAGCGAGAGAGAGAGAGAGAAAGAGAGAGAGAGAGAAAGAGAGAGAGAGGGAGAGCGAGATACTTGGGGAATGTTCGGCTGATGGACCTATCCTCTTAAACATTACACCTTAAGCTAACGCACATGTGTGTGTGTGTGTGTGTGTGTGTGTGTGTGTTGCATTTAGCTAAAGTTCTTGGAAATAGTTTATCTTACACACAAATAGCCATATGCACAGATAATACACGCCGTGCATTATTATAGAAAACACACAGAAAAAAAAAATGGCAATAAAAATCAGTTAACAATATTTTTGTTTTATCGTATCTAATTTTCACAACCGAATTTAGACAGCGCGCATTTCGAACTGAAATAATACCAAAACATATGAGAAATCGACACGGCATCGAGACTTTTTTCCAATTGGCAATCAGCGGCGACTCTACTATCAGCTAACCATGGCCCAGATAAGACACGACAAAAAACCAAACATTATGTGACACATTTGAACCAAGTTAACAGAAAAAAAAAACGATATCATAAAGCGATCAAATGGAATAGTTTTTGGGCTGTATTTGTAAAAAATGTACTTAAAATATGGTTAGGGAAAACATTTCGTCGTTATCGTGTATAAATATATATATGTAAATGTTTATAGATTGGATGATATTATAAAGTTGAGCCGCGATAAACCGGAGATGGATTTTATATTCCCAAACGGAATAACATTTTTAACCAGAATTTATCCAGGCTCAACTGTATATAGTTATTCGAGTTGCCAAATGTTTTGATTAACATTCGGTTTTTGTGTCTTTTTGGACGGCTGTTCTGATGCACATAGGACCGATATAAGATACAAAGATACAAAGATACAGATATGGTAAAAGTATGTCAAAAATTTGCACTACAAATTCCAAGGCACTTATTTGAAAAGAGATTTCGTTTCGCATACAAATATTACTAGAGTAAAAAAAAAAGAAAAGAGGACGGAATATTGTCTGATAAAAAATGGAATCAATAGAAGTTGATTTGTTGGAGACGGATATATATGTATATATAGATATCCGCACTATATGTAGCCCTGCAGGCTGCGCGATTGACTATGATGATGACGCGGCGGCTGATAGCCCGGCTCCTGCATTTCCATCTGCATGACCAGATTCTTTTGCTCGCCGCGCGCCTCGTAGGCCTGCCGTGCCTCGCGCTGCAAGATGAGGGCAGCCAGGCCGAGCAGCATAAAGGTGACGACGGCGAGGGCATACGACCAGCCGAGCACATTGAATTTCGGATACATCAGCCAGTCGCGACGATAGGCGCAGCCACCGAATATGCACACGGCCAAGAACATGAACAGAGCTGCAAGATGAACTTGTCTATAAAGGCATATGCAATAAATATACATCGAGTACGTACATGAGACGGCGGTGCCAATGTAGGAGAGGCGGACCAGCAGCCACTCGTACTGGAGCACGGCCTTCAGCGGGAGCCGGATGATGGTGAGCGCCAGCAGAGCGAGCACGGCAAAGACAATGATGAAGGACATCGTAACGAAGCCCTGGACGGCCATCAGCCAGCCGGGTAGCAGATATTCACGTATAACATAATAATCCTAGATCAAGTAGGTCAGATATATGTATATTGTCAGTTCGATTCAATAGCAATGTACTCACATGGGAAAAAATCAGGTGACAGCCCGTGAATTGCTTGGGGAACTGATAATTCGGGTAGACGAAATTCTTGAAGCAGTATTGCCACAGGCCCATGTTCTTGAAGCTGCTGCGTGTCTCCTCGTACGACTCGATCCAGTATGGCGAGCAAAAGGACATCATCAGCACAAAGAAGCTGGCAAAAGTCACAATTGCTCCAAATACAACTCCATCTGCAAGCGCACACACACACACACACACGCACACATTCGATATTTATTTATGGGCTTATTATAGTAAACAACATTGGCTGCGTCACTTACTTGTCGCACGCGGGTAGTCGCCCTTTTCCACACCCGTGTCGGTGGTGTCCTGCGACTGCTGTTTGCCCAAATTACGCATTATGGACGAAGGCACTTAATGTTTAATTAAAACAAAAAACAACAAACACTTTATTATACATAAACAATTGAGACACAAATTAAACGAATGCGCACACACCCAACAGCAAGGTGGGGCTGGGGATGGCAAAAATATCGATTGATCTTCAAGCAATTTTAATGCGATACTTACGTTGCAGTGGTTTTTATATCGATATATCGAAGACTCTAGTCGAGTGTGGCTGCTTGCTGTTTACAAGAAAATATCTGGTCACACTTAAATGGAATAAATAATGGCCATTTTCGTGTTTGTTTTCATGTTTTATTAAAACTAGTACGACAACAATATATAGTTAAAGAACTTGATCCACCTCATGATGCTCCAAGTGTTTCATATAAGCCAGAAAGCATGTCCAGCACAGGCTGCATACACTGATAAAAGGCACACGATTGCGCTCCGGAATCAGGGAGAAATTGATGGTGGCCACAAGTGGCCAAATGGCCAGCGCAACCTATCAAGTAATGCATATATGAATTTACAGTTATATTGATTAACGTGCATACCTTGTAGGTGGGAATGAACTTCTTGCCAACCTCGGCGACGGCTTCACGTATTGTCTTGGACTCGAGCAGGCTCATTATGAAATAGAAACAGGTCATTGCTGCCGGCGTATACGAAATGGTCTCCACGGCCGCCTTAACAACACCATGGCGCAGTGATGTATGTGGCCACATGGCGCTGGAAACCTGTCCAAGGTGTGCACAAATGATTGAGCATTGGTCAGCGCGAGTCTCGTAACTGGAACCTACCTTAACCCAGCCATAAAGCGTGGGCGCCACAAACAGTCCGCCGTACAGGCTGAAGCGCAGCACGCGCCACCAGTCATAGTTGCCTGCAATCAAACTGTTAGTTAGGTTTTAAAAGCGGGGGGCTCAGCTCACCCCAGCTCTTGTTCTCAAATGTTTGCTGTATCAGGCTGCCCGTGGGCCATATTAGGCTATACGAGATCATGCCACGCGCAATGGGATATCTGGTGACGAACGTCTTCAGCTGTTGCCAGAGCACTGAAGTGAAAAATTGCACATAAAAGCTGTGCCCGATTAGTAGATACCCTGAACCCAGCGCCAAGCTGTCCAGCTCGAACGATGGACAGACAGAGATGATATCAACCCAGCCTGATCAATATATTTTGTATGTATATTTTATATGGGTTTGCCTGATATGCAGAAACCATTTGACCCTCTTTTGTGCCTATTTCTAATTCATGTTAATTAATTCTCTAGAACAACACATGGCCAACTTTTGATACGGGTCGCGTTTTATCAGAACACCCGCTGCGTGCAGTCCAAATAAATGCAGCGGCTGCGTCGTTGCCGCAAGCCAAACGACATGCATTTGCCGGGACTAATTGTCATGTGCTTGCTGGCGGCCAGCTGCGCGGATCAACAGGACGGCAAAATAGTGAACGGCACTGTCGCGGCAAAGGGCGAGTTTCCCTACGCGGTAAGCGAAGTCTATCCGGACACGATATGGATTAAGACTCAAGACTGAGGCGACTAGCTAAATAGTTGAGAATGGCAAAGAGGAAGACTCCAGCACAGATTAATTGGCAATTGTTAATTGTAATCATAGCAGAGGATCTCGATTTTGTCGAGTTGTGACAGACGAGAAAATATGTGGCATAATTCCACGATTATATAAAAGGGGAGCAAAGCCGCAGCCCATCATCCCATTGGGAATCCTAGGTGGACATATAACAAGAATGTAGTCAAGCAATTTTGTCTTGAATTGAAGGACATCACTTGATGTAACCCAGAACTTTCCTGGCATTATACACCCAGGTCCTAAAATGGCAGTCGAATTTAAGTTTATGATCAAGAAAAGTTTTTGAATCAATCCCTTTGTCAGGATCAGCTCCTTCTTGGACAACTGATGTGGTTAGGTTTAGGCTCGGCTCAAAGTAAGCAAATTTATTTAGGACCCGAACCGGCTCGGCTTCATACAAACGTCTTAGGCTTAGCTCCAACAAGTTTGTGGTCTTCTTGCAATTCACCAACGAAATGCAACAAATAATCTTATCTCTGCCCTCTTGCAGGTGTCGCTGCGCCGCGCCAAGACGGGCCACCATTCGTGCGGAGCCACATTGCTGAACGCCGGCTGGGTGCTGACCGCGGCGCATTGTGTGCGGAGCGCGACGCCGGAGCAGCTGAATGTGCAATATGGCAGCAATACAATCGAGCGCAATGCCAGCCAGCTGGCCTGGGTGGCGGCCATATATGTGCATCCCGGCTATGAGCCGCACGACAAGTATATCCACGACATTGCCCTGCTCCGGCTGCGGCAGTCCGTCACTTTTGGCGGCAGTGTGCAGCCCGTGCGCTTGCCGGATCCCCAACAGCAGACGCTGGACAACAGCAGCGCCGTGCTCGCAGGCTGGGGACTGAATGCGGTTCGTATTGGATCGAGTCGACTGTCACGTGTTCCGGAGACTCCAACAAGACTCAAATTGTGTTCGAGTAGCAGGCAACAAATTGTAAGCTCGAGCTAATTGAGCTCAGTCCAAACTCGACTCCGTTTGAACTCGAACATGTTGCTGACTCCAGCAGATCGAACCGAATACTCGACACAATTATTTCCGTCAAGCGAGTCTAGATTCAAATTGTGTTCGAGTTGCAGGCAAATAATTGTAAATCTGCTCGAGCTAAGCTAACTTCAAACTCGGTTGGGTTCGAACATGTTGCTGACTCGAGCAGATCGAACCGAATACTCAAGCAATTATTTCCCTCAAGCGAGTCAAGACTCAAATTTGGTTCGAGCTGCAGGCAAATAATTGTAAATCTGCTCGAGCTAAGCTAACTTCAAACTCGGTTGGGTTCGAACATGTTGCTGACTCGAGCAGATCGAACCGAATACTCAAAAAATTATTTCCGTCAAGCGAGTCAAGATTCAAATTATGTTCGACCTGCAGGCAAATAATTGTAAATCTGCTCGAGCTAAGCTAACTTCAAACTCGGTTGGGTTCAAACATGTTGCTGAGTCGAGCAGATCGAACCGAATACTCGACACAATTATTTCCGTCAAGCGAGCCTAGATTCAAATTGTGTTCGAGTTGCAGGCATATAATTGTAAATCTGCTCGAGCTAAGCTAACTTCAAACTCGGTTGGGTTCGAACATGTTGCAGATCGAACCTCGTTTGTCTGATTGAGTATCCGAACACGTGAACTACCCGATGCAGGACTCCAAATCCATTTAATTTACCCAAAACTCTCCACAGACTGGCGGCGTGGTCCAGCAGCAATTGCAGAAGGTGCAGCTGCAGGTGTTCAGCGACGAGGAGTGCAGTCGCCGCCATCAGATGCAGCTGCACAGCAGCCAGCTATGCGCCGGTGTGCCCGAGGGCGGACGCGGCCAGTGCAGCGGCGATTCGGGTGGTCCGCTACTGCTCGCCGGCACGGACACCCAAATCGGCATTGTCTCGTGGAGCATTAAGCCATGCACACGACCGCCCTATCCGGGCGTATTCACCGAACTGTCCGCCTATGTCGATTGGATTGTCCAGACCGTGGCGGCGGCTAGTCCAGCCGCCGATCCGCTTGCCACGCAGCTGTGGATCGGACAGTTGATTGTGGCACGAGTGCCGCCTCCATTGCAGACATAAAGGTTGTGTAAATTAAATGCCTTTTCATTTACAATTTGTTGCTAAATTAACACATACACAATTTACAACTAGCAGAAATTGTTCGGAGTTGCTGTAAACCAATCGAATATTAAAATGGGATGGATTTGAACCGACAATTGATCTATGCATCAGGTCTGGTATTTTCCTGCAACTCGCGCGTTTTCATATACGCCAGAAATATGGTCCACAACAGGCTGCAAATGCTGACAAAGACGACGCGATTGTGTTCGGGCACCACGGAAAAGTTGATCGTCTGCAGAACGGGCCACACGCACAGCCCAACCTGTATCCGGAATTAAACCCAATCAGATTAGAGAAGTCTTTGTCTTTGTCATTTGCTGGACAAACCTTATAGGTGGGAATCGCCTTCTGCTTGACCTCGTCAATGGCCTGGCCAAATGTCTTCAGCTCCAGCAGGCTCATGCCCATAAAGAAGCTGACGCAGGCGAACGGACCGTAGCTGATTTGCTCGGTTATCGCCTGTAAATCGTATCAATTGATAACTTCCCACTCTCTCCCACTCTTCCTCTTTCTACTCACCTTGAGCACGCCGATGCGCAGGTTTGTCTGCGGCCACATGGCGCTGGTCAGACGCACCCAGCCGTAAAGCGTGGGCGCCACATAGAGACCCCCAAACAGGCTAAAGCGCAGGGCGCGCGCATAGTCGTACGTCTCTGTTTGGGAAACGGGACAAGATTTGTGTGTTTCCTTCTTTTTAGTCGATTGTCACTTACTCAAATTGCGTCCCTCGAGCGTCTGCTGTATCAGGCTGCCCGTGGGCCACATTAGCGTATATGTCAGCACGCCCTTGGCCATCGGATGCAGCTGGAAATGGGCAACGAGCCGGCGCTGCCAGCTGCTGAGCCGCATTTGGACCAGCTTGAACGCCATTTAAACAATAACTAAATACGAAACGGCCACTAAGGCGAACAATAATAAGTCATTTGCGAGGGCAACAAAGACAACGACCACGACGACGACGACGACGACGACATATATCCATAAATCCCCCTAAGAGCCGCCTCCTCCTGGAACCCAAAAGTCTGGAATCTACAGCCAAATGCCCCTCAAACCCAAGAGTTCAGCAAATTCAGCCATTTTCCAGCTAAATTTGTTATTTTCCAGAGACCCTCAGCTGGAAACAGCTGAAGTTTTAAACTGATTAAGCCTTTTTTCAACATTGGATTCAGCTACTTTTTGAAGCAATATTTGCCAACACTGGTCAGGGTCAATGTCTCAAAACAAACTCAAGAGTCCAGGTAATTCAGCTATTTTCCGGCTAAATTTGTTATTTTCCAGAGACCCTCAGCTGGAAACAGCTAAAGTTTTTAACTGATTTAGCCTTTTTTCAACATTGGATTCAGCTACATTTGCCAACACTGGTCTGAGTCAATGTCCCAAAACAAACCCATGAGTCCGGGTCAGTCTGGCCAGCTATTTTCCGGCTAAATTTGTTTTTATCAGAGACCCTCAGCTTGAAACAACTGAATTTTTAAACTGATTTAGCCTTTTTTCAACATTGGATTAGGCAACTTTTTGCAGCAGCAGTTGCCAACACTGGTCTGAGTCAATGTCCCAAAACAAACCCAAGAGTCCAGCAAATTCAGCTATTTTCCGGCAAAATTTGTTATTTTCCAGAGACCCTCAGCTGGAAACAGCTAAGGTTTTACACTGATTTAGCCTTTTTTCAACATTGGATTCAGCTAGTTTTTGAAGCAACATTTGCCAACACTGGTCAGGGTCAATGTCTCAAAACAAACTCAAGAGTCCAGGTAATTCAGCTATTTTCCGGCTAAATTTTTTTTGGCAACTTTATCGCCAAATTGTGCTCAGCAAGCTGATTCAGCTTTTTTTTTTTGTTATTTTCAACATTGGATTCAGCTACTTTTTGCAGCAGCAGTTACCAACACTGGTCTGGGTCCAATGTCAATGTCTATGTGTGCTCTTAAATATCTAACTAATAAATTTCTCTTGCAGCTTGGGCTCAGGTTCAAGAGTATCTAGTAAAAAATGGTACTTGCTTTGTTCTTTTAGTTTTTTTCTTCGTTGCACTTTCTCACTTTTTTGGGCTTTGAATCAACTGAATATAGGCTGGGTTAAGTGTATCTAAATGTCACAATGGTTGCACAAATACTAAAAGTGTTTCGTGCATTTGAATTGCCAAAAAAAAAAATTGACAAAAAAAAATAGAAAATTTGCGATCGTGCAAAGCTTTTCCGTTTCCGTGTCGCTCAATTGCTGCAATTGTCGGCGGAGGGGGGAGGGGTAGGGGTATGGGGAGGGGGGTGTTGCGTTGTCAAGGGTGTTGGCTTATGAGAGCTGTAAATATTATAGATTATGGTCGTAAACTTGCCAAAAACTTGGCCCCCAAATAATTCGCGCCAATTTTCTAAGAGAAATATACAGATACACGCGCGCGCGCGTGTGTGTGTGTGTGTGTGTGTGATGCATCAAAAAGTGCAAGCAAAATAAACATCAGCGTTGCCAATTCAGCCGTTTTCTAGCTACAACTGGCCATTTTCTATGGTCGTCAGCCGTAAATAGCTGAAATTTAAAGCTGATCTAGCTAGTTTTTGGCATATCCAAGTAGTCGCAGGCCAACGCAACTATTTTTACCGAGTTTAACATTGAATTCGGATTCTGTGAAACAAGCACATGGCAACACTGATAAATGTATATAAAATTAGTAAAAGTATTATTCATATGGCAAATAGTATGCACACACTTGTGCACGTGCGGCTTGATTTGTGGACAGCAAATTTCCCAGTGGGGGGGGGGGGGGTAGTCCAAAAGTGACCGTGTCATAACAATTGCCTTTTGCATGGAAACGTTGAGCATGCACACGCACACAAACACGCGCACGTTTATGTAATTGTGTGTCAGCATAGATCTATCTGTGTTAGCCCATATGGGAGGGTTTGTATGTATGTGCTAGTGGGTTTTACAACCTGCAATAAATTCTAAGAAAACAAGCTTGTCATCCCCACAAACAATAACAGCCGAAAAAGATTTGTTTTGTTCCATTTCTACATGAATATATTCGCCATGGCCGTCGCGTCGTCGCCTTCTAATTCGCATACTTACATATGTAAGCACGAAACATACACACATACATACATACATGAATGCACATATATGCATATGTATGTTTGTATTCGAGTGATAGCTAGAAGCGTAACTAAAACTTATTGTTATGCTGGTTTTTGTACTATGTGCATAAATGAAGGACGCCAAAGAGCGTCACAGTCGACGTTCTTGCTGCTGATTGTATTAAACTAAACTAAACTAAATTGTTTGTGTCAGCTGTCTGGCGGCGTCTGCGTGCTGTTGAAAAAGCTATGCGAGCTTTCTAATACCCTACAACGCACCCAGCTGCAAAGTGGGTATTTTCGGTGGGATTTCTTATATATTCCTATTGGCATATTCATAGTTACTTGCATATCAGATTTGTTTATTATGATGTGCAAGTAACAGTGCATGTTCCAATTAGAATATGATACGTGAGTAAATTCTGTGTGACCGTGTATTTGTAAATTTAAAAGCGAACTGTGCTGATTTGTTTGATCGTTAGATTGCGACCGTTATAATTAAAACGTTTATGAAATGTAAGCAATGTATATTCCAAGAATAGGTCATTTTTACTGCCAACTTGAGGTCTACCAAAGGGAGATCAGTTTTCATAGGCCTCCTTCCCATCTCCCTGGCCATCAGATTTGGCATTCTTGACGGCGGCCACTTGCTTATTGAATACGAAAGTGTGATATTGTTTGGCCAACTGGGCACACTTAAGGGGTTCGGTGCCGTACTGACGATAGCAGGATATCAATTGTTTTTCCATATTCTCGATGTCCGCCGAACACTCATTGGCCTTGGCCCATTTGATGGGCTGCCCAAACAAATTGTGCACACGGTCTAGTGTCTTGGTGAATTGCGTCTCTTCAATTTCCGTTGAGCGCCGTGCCCAGGATTGAGAGATCGCCATCTGTTGTTGTTGTTGTTGCTGATAGGGTTGCACTTGGGGCTGTTTCTCACTGCTGGCGGCATCGCCCGCCGAGCTCACTGTATGGACTCCAGCTGTTGTCGCTGTTGTTGCTGTTGGTGTCGCTGTACGACTGCAATGTTCACAGACTGTGGAGACGTTGCCCTTGTCCGCTTTGGTGGCCTTCTCGACGCGCTCCAAGACTTCCCGGCTGATCTGAAATGGCGATGTATTAGACATTTGCACAGTTTGCGGTTTGCTGTTATTAGCGCCCATATCGAAACTTATTCAAAATTGTAGTAAATGTCGTTCGTGATTCGTATAGAATTTTTGTTGTTTCATAAAAATTGAATATAGTCTGATAACTCAAATTAAATTTTGTAACATACATAGCAGTTTATTTTGCCTGCGTCTGGGCACACTTCTGCTTCAATATATATATTTTGTGTTTTTGAACAGAAACATCGATGCGAGTGAAATATATATCGATATATCGTCTCACATTGAGCACATGCAACATTGTACTTCTGAAGCGCATCAACCAAACATTTATTTATTGTGTACTTTTTTTATATATGTAAGCAATACAAACAATAGAAATGCACGAAGAACAGACAACCGATGCGCCAGGTAAGTCCCCATACTTAACTCGATCCGTCAATCGCTGAATGTTTCTTTAAACGCGCGCCAATTATAGCAATTATAGCGTCGCCCAGCCAAGTGATGCGGCATTTTGTGCAGTGCATGGACGACGACGATGTACGCAGGGAATTGACAGACGACTGCATTCTCAGCGTGCTGGGGCGCAGCATTAAAGGCGTCGCTGCCGTAACTGGTTACGTGCGCACCCAGCTAACGGCACGCTACAGGCATGTGGGCTTCCAGGCTGCCAGCCACTGTAGCGAGGCTCGGAAATCGCTGCTCACGGATCGCTATGCGCGCAGTTTTCAAGTGCTTCGCAGCCGCCCAAAGGCGTCAAAGCCCATGCCGGCATCTCTGCACATGCGTCCAGAGAGTGATGACGACGAGCCGGATGCTGGCGACTGCCTCAATCAGCTGGTGACACCTCCACGCTCGAGCGCACCGGCTCAAAACTCGCAACTGTTGCAGTACATCGAATCGCCTGGCGTGCTGGAGGCAGATCATGAGCACGATGATGGTGGCATTGATCTGGGCGAATCATGCCAGGTGACGCTGACGCTGGGCTACCGCGTCTATAATAGCGAATGTGCAGTGGAAATCTGCTTGGTCATCTACGAGAAGCTTAAGCCAAGATCTCTGGCACATCCGGCACGGAACCGGACTTCACGCAGCTCACGAAATGTCCACACGGATGATGAAGGCGAGCTGCCGGCAACGCGCAGCGTACGGCGTACGCTCTTCACCAGTGCCGCCGACAGCGAAGATCCCGAGGAGTCCATGGTCCGAACGTTGCCCGACGTTAGCCCGGCCAAAGCTCCGCCTGCTTTGACGCCGCGCAAGCGTCAGCATAAAACCGATCCGAATGTCAAGTCCAAGCGGCTGACGGTGCTTGGCGGCATGCGCTTCTAGAAATATTAGCCCACTTATTAGCCCAATATTGTACCAAACTAAATTATAGATTTATAGATAGTAGTGCCCATATTGGGCGGATTGTTAATTGCGAAGACTGAGCCCAGTTGTAGTAGAGTATACAGATAAGGTTGTCTTCGGACTAATACGAGTACATAAGATTATTCAAAACATATACACCAATTGTATATACATATATATTATATTATAAACCAATATATTTTTCTATTCTTAAGTGTTAAAATAAAACAAATTATTCAAAAGATTGGAATCGCGCCTTCTTAAATTTAAGAAAATAAATAATAAAAAATAAATAAAATCAAATAGAAAATTATTTAGTAAATCAATTAGTTTGTTCAATTTCAATGAATTTTAATAAGAATTCGTTTATTTTGATACTTGAATTCGGTTATCGATATAACAATCATCATGCAGCTATCGATATTAAATTAACAACCCTGTGAAGTGGAAGTGTGTGTCTTTGTTTTCATGTTGTTTGAAATTTTGGCGACGCTACAGAGTTTAGCAACAATATGGCTTATTTAAATGATTCGAATAACAAAAAAGCCGATTTCGACTGGGACGAAATAAACGTTGGCGACTTTAATCTAGATCATTCGGAAAATTTCTTTGGTACGTATAACCTGAGCCCGGTCGTCTCGATTTACAGTTAACTCGTACAACAATAGAAAATTGCGCCATTTTAGCAGCTGCATTTTCAGCGCCGGCGGCGAACAATCTTCTGGATGCAATCGATTTAAGCCAAAATGTGAATAATTTAAACAATGTCAATAGTCATTCAAATGCAGCTGTCGACTGGAACGAAATAAAGGCTGAAGCCTACATAACGGAGCATTCGGAAACTGTTTGTGGTATGTTTCCGCGACTGTTCTACGATTTACAGTTAATTTTCAAAAATTCAGTTTTAGCAGCTTCCACTGCAAACAAGGAGAACATAAGGGGTCCTTTGAACTGGAACAATGAACCAGCACATGAGATTAAGCTGGAGGTCAAACGGGAGTTGCAGTTTAATGATATCAAAATTCAGGAACCACGCGCTTGTTTGCAGAGTTTGGAAAAAGCTGGCGTAGAAAATGCGCCGCTGGAATCTGAACTTCAACTGCAGTTAAATTTGACGCCAGTTCTGCCGCGATTGGAAGAGTTTCACTGTAAAGAGGAGTTGGACGACAATGACGACGGTTATAGGCCACGCCAATTGAATCCGCCAGAGTCGTCGCCGGCTTCCGTTCAGTCGCAATCGCCGTGCGAGCAGGAGCCACAGGACGATAATAGCGTAAACAACGAGCCTCTCGATTATAAAGTCAAACTTAGGCTCGGCTGGACTCCAAAACCTGAAAAGCCAGGCGATGGACCCGCCGCCGTCGCCGCCGGCGCTGTGAAAGCGCCCAGGGCATATGAATGCAAGGAAGTGTATCAGGCCAAGCGGGAAATGGCGTTGCGACAACGTGAGGAGGAGGAGCGCAAAGCACGCGAATTTCATAGTAAACCGGTGCCAAACTTTAAAGCCCTTCATAAACGCTTGGCGAACACAATAGTCATTCATAGAATCACAGTGCCTATAACTCCGGAAACAGTCAAGCACTCATATGCCGACATGGAGCGACGCAAACGTAGGGAACAGGTAAGTGTGCAAGTCAAATATCAGGTTAAGTGCTTGCTAATTAAAGAACCCGCAGGAAGCCAAAATGAGTCAACAGCAGCAGCAGCAAGAGAATGCGAAAATGGTGCGCAGAGCCATGCATGAATCAAAGCCATTTCAATTGCGGGCCGATCAGCGCGTGCGCGAACGTCGGGAATATAATCATGTTGTGCAGTGTCATCAGGAGGAGAAAAAGAAGCAGGTAAATCATAATGTAAGTTGCTATTTAAAATTAAGTCATTGTTCTGGTCACATTGCACGCAGTGTTGCGTTTGTGGTGCATCACTGCGTGCATCGATAACGATAATTTGTATGGGCCGTCTCTACATTGCGCTAACATAGCAATATAATTGCGTTAGCAGCTGCGATTCCGCAGTTGGGGCAAAATTAACGTTTGAGCTTGAGCGTGTTTCAGTTTTATTAAAATCGTTAGTTTGTTAAGTAAAAATCCTACACAATACTTTACATACGCAAGTAGGCTGGCAAAGTGAACAAATTTGGCGCAGTACAAATATCAAAAGCCGTTCTATACATAATATATACGCACGCACACACACACACACACATGTACTACATATCATACACATATGTATGTATGCATACTTGTTGTTTGTGTGTGGTGTGAGTCATGACGTTTCGGTAAACGGACGGCGTAGAAAACAGTTATATTGTGCATATATATATATATATATATATTGCATAAAGGGCGCAACGCGTGACTAACCGTAATAGATTTAAAAGACAACAAATTTCGGTACAAATGCAACAGAGCACAAAACTCGAAATTATTGTAAAAGCAAAAGGATTATCAGCAGCTGCTGCGCCCAAAATATATACACACTCACACACACACCGACGCAGGCACACTGCAGTCAGACTGGCAGCATATACACACATACATACACTCTGAGCAGTGGGAGCAGCAACAGCAACAGCAACAACATTGTCGTCACGGTTTGTGAAGCAACAGTCGCACTCTCTCCCTCTCGCTCGCTCGCTTGCACATTGAAGCTTTGTGTAGCAAATTGTAAACTGTAAACAAAGCTCCCGAAGGGGCGCCACTTTCGCCGCAGCAAGCAGACCGCAAACGCAACCGCAAACAAAATGGTTGATCGTCTTGTCAACTCGGAGCTAAATACACGTCGCATCGCCTCCGTGGAGAGCTGCTTTGGCAGCTCGGGCGTGCCGCTGGCCGTGTCCGGACGTGTTCTGGTCGGCGAGGGTGTGCTGACAAAGATGTGCCGCAAACGTCCGAAATCGCGTCAGTTCTTCCTCTTCAACGACATACTCGTCTATGGCAACATTGTTATTGGCAAGAAGAAATACAACAAGCAGCACATAATGCCGCTGGAGGAGGTCTCACTGGAGTCCATACCCGATAATCAGCAGTACAGGAACGGCTGGTATATACGCACCACAACGAAATCGTTTGTGGTTTATGCGGCAACCAGCACCGAAAAGCAGGAATGGATGGCCCATATCAATAAGTGTGTGGAGGATTTGCTGCGCAAGAGCGGCAAGAAGCCGGTGGAGAATCATGCCGCCGTTTGGGTGCCCGATGCGGAGGCCAGCATTTGTATGCACTGCAAAAAGACGCAGTTCACGTTCGTTCAGCGGCGTCATCATTGCCGCAACTGCGGCGCCGTTGTCTGTGCCGGCTGCTCCTCCAAGAAGTTCCTGTTGCCCCAGCAAAGCGGCAAGGCGCTGCGCGTCTGCGATGCCTGCTACGAGCGTCTACGGCATACGCCAGCTAGCGGCGATCCGGATCCGGATGCCGATGCCGATGCCACCGAGCGCAGCGCTGGCAAATTGAACGCCAGCGGCGCGGATAGCTCCAATGATGACGACACAGACGAGGACACTGCCTCGCCGGCAGCCGAGGCGCACGACGAGCCGCGCTTCTACGGCGACAACAGCATGTCGTCCGCCCCGGACGATTCCATTTGCAGCACAGCAACGACGACGACGACACCCGCAACAGCAGCAGCAGCAGCACACGCTCCAAATAACTGCTGAGTAGCATCATAATTAACGCTGTCCCGGGATGCGGATTACTGGATTACTGGTACTACTACTAAATATCACATATTTCCCTATTCACGTTACAATATTTGAACTGGGCGCGGCACTTCTTGCCTCCGAAGCCTACAGAAAACACGATCAGTGCTGCCAATTTGGCTAAGTTTTGCAATTTCAACTGATTTAGCTTGTTTTCTTAAGGCATCTCTATGAGATTTGGTGACAACCCTGCCAATTTGGCTATGTTCACCCGAAAACAGCTGAAATTTTTAACTGATTTAGCTTTTTTGTGTGACAACTCTGCCAATTTGGCTATGTTCAGAGGTGAATAGCCGAAAAAAGATGAAATTTTTAACTGATTTAGCTTTTTGGCATCTCTATGAGATTTGGTGACAACCCTGCCAATTTGGCTATGTTCACCCGAAAACAGCTGAAATTTTTAACTGATTTAGCTTCTTTGTGTGACAACCCTGCCAATTTGGCTATGTTCAAAGGTGAATAGCCGAAAACAGCTGAAATTTCAACTGATTTAGCTTGTTTTCTTCAGGCATCTCTATGAGATTTGGTGATAACCCTGCCAATTTGGCTATGTTCACCCGAAAACAGCTGAAATTTTTAACTGATTTAGCTTTTTTGTGTGACAACTCTGCCAATTTGGCTATGTTCAAAGGTGAATAACCGAAAACAGCTGAAATTTCAACTGATTTAGCTTGTTTTCTTCAGGCATCCCTGTTTATTGCGAATTTTCGCATTGAATTCAGCTACTTTTTTATTATTTTTTTGGCAAGTTGGCAACTCTGAACACGATTCGATTCGCAAATTCTTTTGCTGCGGCTTTCTACATGAATTCCACTTTGTGTTTTATGCTAATCTTATCAGCTTCAGCTGCTTTAGCTTCTGCTTCTCTAGATTATACCCTATTAAACCCTATTTACATACGTAAGAAGGGGTATATCAATTAAGCCTTTTTTTTCTCAACATTGAATTCAGCTGAACACGATTCTGCGGCTCTCTACATGAATCGCATTTTGTGTTTTATGCTAATCTTATCGGCTTCCGCTTCTCTAGATTGTACCCAATTATACCCTTTTCACATACGTACGGATGGGTATATCCATTTGACAGCTGACCCATCGCACGATCGAGCTACAGTAATATTTCAACAAGTGAAGACTTCTTTCGCTTCCGCTTGTTTTAGACTGTTAACAGCGTATTGGGTAGTCGCATATACCCGACTGCAGTCGCTTCTCTCTTGCTCACTTCTCGCTATTCGCGCTGACTGGCGCTTAAAGCATGCCAATCGGATTTACCCAGCTACAATAATAACTATACGCACATACATAATAAAGATACGTAGATATAAAGTCCGCTTCGCCTGTCACATGCTCTCCGACTGTTCCATGTTCTTTTCTTTGATATACCCTGAACACTTTAAAAGCTGGGTATCATGTTTTTATGCAAATGTTTGTAACCAGCCTCTCTCCGGCTCCATTTTGACTATATATTCTTCTGATTAATGTTGGAGTCTTGACCAGAAAAGCCTTTAAATTGTCTTTCGATAAATATCGATTTTGGGGCATGATTTT